ACAGAGAAACCAAATACAGAGGTTATGGAGATTAAGGGCCATAATTATGATGATATTCTTGCTAATACATGGAGTTTTAATACAGAACTTTAAAAAGTTAGAGCCAACCATATAAAAAGGGCAGTTGAATAATTGTGCATTAGCAGGAAAAATCACAGTACCACTAACTAAACATATCCAAACACTGACCCAAAGCCCAGATAGCAGCAAAATGGACAATCTTGCTGATGAACGGCACAAAACCAAAGGGGTGATGAATCAGTAAAACTCCATCAAAAACAAAGTGTGCTTAGAAGTCTACATGGAATACTTGGTAAACTGAAAATGTCAAAATGGGAAAACAATATGTTTTACCAGTGGATGCAGTATGTTGCAAGTAAGCATGCGGTCTTGGGTGACATGTTGCAACACTAAGAGAATTCCCCAAATGATGCCCCTTCCAAGTTTTGACTCAAAAGGCTAATGAAAAGGAGACATGCTTTGCATACTGTGTGGTACACATGGCGGGAGGATATGGGAGATGGAGTGACGATGGGAGAAATTGTCCTGTATACTTATCGGATGAACTTGAGTCTTGGATACCACCTGTGGTAAACATGGTAGAGGACACAGTATTCCCATATTGTATAGCACATGGAAATGATATGATAGCAGTGATAAGACTAGATAAGAAGGACCCCCGTGTACAGTGTCAATGCAAGATGTTCCATGTATTACATACAAGAAAATGGATGCTTCAAGTACAAAACTGTGCAACACAACTAAGAAGGCAGCTTTTCAATGTCAGCAGGTAGTAATGGATGGCTCTATACGGTTCTATAATGTTTTATAGTTCTATGTCAATAGATGGATCTATTTGTCATGGAAGAGGACAAAAATCCCAAACCTTACAATAGGATCACGGCCACTGGCAGATGTGTTTTGGTTGTGTGATGACAATAAAAAGGAAACAGCAAACTGGACAGGAATTTGCACACTGGTTATGCTGACAGGACAAGTAACAGTACTTGGTTCTCCATCACAAAATAAAAGTAGAACTGAACGAAGTCTAAATTCTATATTGAAGACGGATGAACCCATTTACGTTGCCCTGAACCAGGAACCACACGGAGTGCCCTCAGATAATCAGGCAGTAGGGGAAGACTGGATCATTTCAGGACAAGTAATAGGGAGCATACCACAACCAATTATAAGTGCAATGACAAATGCACACTAAACAGCACATAACAGCAGATTGATGAACTATTTATGGTACAATCAGCAAAGATTTATTAACTGGTCCATATCAGCAATAGGATCCATGCATGAACAACTGCATGCAACATCCTTGATGGCTTTGCAAAATAGGTTTGCTTGGAAGAAATACTAGCAGAATAACAAGGAGTCTGTAGTTACACTGAAGAAGAATGCTGTATTGTTATTCCAATGCAAACAACCTGACAAAAATATTACAAAAGTTAAAGACATAAGAGTTGAACATTCTAACCGGAATACCAAGGCACATGCCTGTTTAACAATCTGTCTTGGAGAAAATTCCTACAGTCCATAGGAATGGTGATTGGAACACTGTTGTTGATTGTCATGGTGGTCATGTGTTGGGGCAGCTGTGGCTCAGGAGGAAGAGCAGGTCTTCCACTAAAAAGAAGGCCGGTGGTTCGATACCCAGCTCCTCCAGGTCGCATGTCGAAGTATTCTTGGGCAAGATGCTTTTCTAGTCTTACTGACAAGACTAGAAAAGCACAATATAAGTCCATTTACCATGAGTTGCGTGTTTCCACTTATTCAAATAATGATCGACTTAGTAACCGGACAATTTCCCCTTCAAATTCACAATGAAATTCCGTATATGATCATCCACGTGAATGTGTGTATGAGGAAATGAATGTACAGGCAGCAGGTGACCAACCACATGAATGTGTTTGTGAGGAGGTGGATTTGAAGGATGTACAGATTCATCTATTATTAATTAATAAAAATTACAAAATGGCAGAATAACCAAAAAGACAAAAAAACGATGGAAAGGAATCACGACCCAAGAATAAAGGAAATGCGGAAAAACAATATAATGAACTCCAACCCACATTAGATCTCTTACCATTTGGTCCAATACAGCTTCATGCATCTAAAACTGTCTTACAATACTTAGGCTACTCAATGCAATCAGAAGGGTATCTATTACTATCACCACCCTATGACATCTGTTTGGAAAGAGTTTGCTGCAAGAACTGGCAAGCAGCAGAATGTTACACACTAAGACAGTCCATACTGTTTGGCACTCACACTACAATAGCAAGGTATGGGAAGAAAAACATAGAAAAGCTTTCTGACGAATACAAACACAGTTACAGCCTATATAAAGACAAACTTATGCTTCACACTGGTAGTCATGTACGTTTATATCATATGGACTATGTTAAGGGTTGTATGGTTAAAAAAATGAACTAATTAAACTTTATGTTATCTTGATAGATAGTCATGGTAGAAGGCCCAGGATACAGTTGGGACAACAACCAACCCTTTTGTCCACCCTCACAAGTCCAATTCCACGAGAATCAGGGCTATTACACAAGGTTCAGATACGTCTCCAGTATAGACCTCAGGTAATCCCCTTTGATCCAGCTAAGATGAGACCAGGCATAGGGTTCTCCCCTCAAGGACCCTACAGGGAACCAATGGTACCAATAGGGATATGCTCCAGGCCCCTCAGGCGCAGGTCCAACTCTGCAGGGATGTGCTCCAGGCCCCTTAGGTGTGGGACCAGCTCCAGGACCGGCAGAACAAGGATGGATGGCCCAGCAACTGAGAGCATCAGGTCAAGCAGTTCCAATCCAAGGGGTACCAACGTAGGAACCTTTCTACCTTCTGCACCACCACCATCAAAGCCCTCACTGCTGTTCCAGCTGGTCCAACAGCAAGATATGGCAGTCGAACAGCAAAACATGTCAGTCCAACAGCAAAACATGTCAGTCCAACATCAAGAGATGTCAGTCCCACAGCAAGAACCACCAGCTATGAAAAGAGCCAGAAGAGGAGTCCTACTCTCCAACCTCACCTAGCCTAGGTCCTTAACCTACATGGCCATGGTCACCACCGAATGATCCTGACAGGCAGGCCCAACCTTTTGAGGATCCACTCCCACAGCCATCAACTAGTGCTGATGCTGAAGATCAAGCTGCCGATGCTGATCCACCCATTGAAGTTGGAGACAAAAACACATTGGCTGATATGATGCTGCAGGAGTTTTGCCACATGATATCCAACCACCCAAAAGAAGAGGGACAGGCACTGAGCCTCATGAAGAGTAAGGAGCTGAAGTGGCACTATAACAAAAATACCTGATTGACAAACATTGTCATTACAGACAACTTTAACAACAGGTGTGGGAATTTGGCCCTTGACAGGGATCTTGTTGCCCACCGCATGAGACTCTGTATCAATGTCCTTGTAGTAAACTTTCATTAAAATGCATTCAGCATTATCAATATACTGAATGTTAAACTTATAAACTCAATGTATCAGCTATATCCACAGCTGAAGTTAAGTTTGTTATAGCATGTAACCTGGAAGGAAGGGATTAAGTTTTTTTTTTTTTTAAATGGTTGGAAAGTCCCTGGAAACAATGGTATCAGGGCTGGACACCATTGTTTCCGGGGCGTTGATAGGTTGTTTTTAGAAAAATAGTTGGAAAATTCACCTGAGAAGGAGGGATGGTTTTACTACATAAGATAAAAGATATAAGAAGGAGCTGGCTTGGGTTTGTCCTGTGAAAAGGAATAAACTCTATTACATGACCATCTCTAGTTAATTCCTTAAACTTTTGAGACTCCAGTATCTGTGCATCACTGTTGTTACATGTTGGTGAAAATGTCCAGACTTAAACTCTGGCCCAGACCTGGACTCCTGCCCTCCAACAACTATCAAATGCACTAATTAAATCAGAATGAATATTAGTTGTATACAAATTTTCTAGGCTGTTGAAAAACATATTATGAATCATTCATTTGACCTAGCTTGGAGAGACAGTGCAACTATGCCAACCCAATGTGCACACAGAGAGGGAGAGGGAGAGGGAGAGAGAGAGAGAGAGAGTTATAGAGAGAAAGCTGGTCATATCAAAATACCGATAGAAAACTTAGAAAGTATGAAAGCTGATGGTTACCATAGTTATTTAAACCTTTATTTGTAAGTGTGTGAAAAACATTTGAACAAATCCTTTCTGCATGTAGAACAAATTAGGTAGACCACACTGCCTTTTTAATCATTGGGATGCTGCTTCAACAACAATAAATCACTGAATGCCTTATGTACTGTATTTTCATTGTTTAACAAACTGTGTTCTTTTAGTTCCCTCACTTGTTAGATGGGCAATATACATAAGAAGATACCATAATATGGTAATACTGTAAACCAAAGCCAAATCCTGGATAGCCAGCTAGTATAGGCTACCAGCAAAACAACTGGGCAAGCATGTGTCCTACCAGTACACTGTAAGATGAATGACAATGTTCAAATGTCCTCCTCTTACTCCTCATCAACAGTTCCCTAATCATCAACCTTCACAACTACCAGTTTGTTGTTGAACTATTCCTCCTCGTCATTTTCCTCCTCATCATTCTCCTCCTCCTCCCCCTTCTTCAACTTCTTCGACTATCCCTGTCTTGGCTGAGCTAACAGCACTCTCCCTGCACATTGCTCTAATTCTCTGAAACAGTGGATTAGGTGGTCCTCGCTGCCGTCAGCTGCCCTTTTCAGGCCGCACACCTTGAAGGATGATGCCACAAATGAATTTACACACTCACTCCCTCTCTCTCTTGCCTTCTCTCTCTCTCTCTCTCTCTCTCTCTCTCTGTCAGACACACACACACACACACACACACACACAACACACATACACATTCACAACACACACACACACACACACACACACACACACACACACACACACACACACACCTTGGAGGAGTCTTTCACCAGCTCTGTACTCAACTTAATGTGTCTACCTTGTGTCTGATAGTTGAGTCTCCTCATCTCCACAGGGTCTGAGGAGTGGGCCAGTAGTGAGTCCTTGAAAACTGCCATGTGCTCATCCTTGGCTGGAGATGTTCGCTTCCTAGGGGAAGAAGTGGCGTGATGAGAGAAGGTCACCATTTAACCATTAAACCATATAGGACACAAATTAGTGCAGTTTTGAAATTTAATGTGATGCAAAAATGTTTTCAGCATCATGTTCACCAAGTATAGCTTTGATCATTGTTGAGATATTATGAAAGCTGTGAAGTGAGACTCTAAATATCACACAGAAACGAGAAAGCGAGAAATAAGATTGAATAATGGATTCGCAGTGTATTTTGGAACTTTGGACAAAGCCACGCTACCTGCTTTCCCCTTCTGAAAGATGAGATTCCTCTCTCAAAAAGAAAGAGCACTGAAAAATTAAATAAATACTTAAAAAATGTGAAATCAAATTACTTTCCTCATAGTGTGTTGTGGATTTAATAGATTGGTTTTGGTTTTGAGCAAGGATATTCTTCAGGGTTGCGTTATAAAGTTCAGTGCCATGTCTTTAACACTGTTTGACAAAGGCATTTTTTGAAGTGTAGGTGCAAACTAAAGGGCTGTCATTGCACAATTTGGTATTTTACAGAGCAGAAAGTATGAATTTGAGGAAACAAAGTAAATCACCTTGACAAAAAGTAAATAAACAAATTAGCAATTTAATTAGGAAGAGAAGAGATGAACACTTGGAAAAAAAGAACATTTATCAAGCTCTATATTTAAACATTTCTGTTTTCTGCAAGAAAGTATTGTTCAGGCATCAATTTTTATGAAAAAACTTTTGATTCTTCAGCTGTGGCGTTTCTTTTGCAGGCAAAGCTGCAGGTGTGAGAGTGACTGAGAGATGAAAAAAACACTGAGAGAGGATTATTCTGAGGGTAAGCTAAGCAGGATTTGTGAATTCAGCATTCAGAGGTGAACAGCAGAAAACACACCTGAAGAAACAAAAATGCTAAAGCGTACACAATCACTAACACACAAGACACACATGCTTACAAGCACTGTCGGTTAAAGCCTTTTTTCCCTTTTACACATGTAAGGTAAAAAAAAGGCTTGAAGACAGCTAGAGAAGCTGGCATGACGCTATGAAAGTGTAACAACAATCTGTCACGTCTCATCATCACTGTTAGAAAATACGAGGAGGATGTGCAGAAGCGAAGTGGGACGTAAAGTAATGTAAAAGAACTGACAGACTCACTAACCTTTCTTGTTTGCTGCATCCAAAGAAAGCAGGCAGACATTGAACAAGAGGGCGGAAAGACAAATATTAATTTGCAACATGTCAGCAGTCGGAGTACCACACAGCGTCGCAGTAAACAGGTGTTTAAAGTGCCACGTTTATCAGTTTGATACATCAATATGGCCACATGGCACGCACACAACATGTGTTGGACAAGGTGGACAAGGCAATGACATATCTCAAGAGGACAGATTACAGATAGAATTTTCTCAACAACTGCAATGAACGCTACCAAAAATTAGCGTTCTCGTGGACAGTAAGATAGTATGTGAGTGCTCCACACACTTATCTGAGCTTCTCTAGTAATCTAATTATGTTCATTTGGACAGCTACAAGCCACATTTTTGTTTCCGGATCCTTAGGGAAAATCATTGGAATTTGTCTGTCCGATGCCTAGAATAATAATAGAAAAGAATTTGCTGTGTTTGTCCTTATAACCAATTTAAGACAAAACATGAGAGGATCTAGAAAATCAGACCAACGTGTTTTGCACTAAGTTTGAGTCTGATGGGTTCATGCAGACATCCAGACACACACACACACACACACACACACACACACACACACACACACACACACACACACACACACACACACACATACACACACACACACACACACACACACACACTTTCAGTGTTTTGTTAGCTAGATTGTGTTGTAAACTATCTCTATACAGTGGTCAATGGCAAAATAAAGGCTGTAAGTTTGGGGACAGTGATTACTTTTAGCACAGTTAGTTATGTATGTTAGTTATTAGTTAGTGGTTTCCTGTTTTAGTTATTTTTCCTGCTGGATTTGTTTTCCATCAACAGTAAACTGCTGTCCAGGAGCCTATTCATAATTCAGAACTCTCAGCAGCAGACTTTTGGATAGCAATGGAACCATAATTAGGAACACATTTAGCAGTGATGTGATAAATATTTGGCTTGTAAGAATAAAATATGCAAAACATCAACTTGGACTTAGATCAGCAAATGATTTAAGATAGCTATGGGTATCTGAAATTCAGACACATGAAGAGAGAACAAGAGTAAAAGGAGGAATGAAAAAAAGACAAAATGAGTGTTGCTATTTGAGCAAAGCAACAGCCATATGGACGCTAGGGGGGGGGGTTCCCTGGAGGGAACCCAAGACCTCTCCTCTGGTCCATAGCCCTCCCAGTCCACCAGGTACTGACATCCACGTCCCTGATGGCGCATTGCCAGGAGGCGCTTAACAGTGAAGGCAGGAACCCCATTGATGACCCAGGGGGGTGAAGGGTCTGGAGCAGGGAACCATTGCGCTTTCTTTCACAGGTTTGGCACAGAAGACATGGAATGTGGGTTCAACCCTCCAGGGCATGGGGAAATTGAGGCATTCTGCCGTCAAGTTGACCACATTGGAGATGGGGAAGGGACCAATGAAACAAGGAGCCAGTTTATGGACTCCACTTGCAGAGGAAGGTCTTGAGCTGATAACCAGACTCTCTGACCAGGACGACAGGCTAGAGCTAGAGTATGCCGGCAGCCCACGTGCATCTTGTTATATTCTGCTGTTTTCAGAAGTTGGGCATGGGTCCCTCCAGGTACATCAACACCTGTGTATGAAAGCAAATGCCGAGGGAACCCCCATCTACACCTCCAGATCTGGGAACAAGGGAGGCTTTTAGCTCTAAGCACACTGGAAAGGAGAAAGACAAATGGCAGAACAGGGTTGGGTGTTGTGTGTATACTCAGCCCACGCAAAGTTCTTACTCCAGGTGGAGGGGTTGTGTGTAGACAGGTCTCCAATTCCTGGTTCATCCTTTCTGTTTGGGGGTGGTAACCAGACGAGAGGCTGACTGAGGCACCCAACAAAGTACAGAATGCCTTCCAGAACTGTGAGATGAACTGGGGGCCCCTGGTTGAACACAACATCCCTACGGAATCCATATATATGAAAAACATCACCTCTGCCATCACCTGGGCAGGGGGTAACTTGGGCAATGGAATGAAATGCACAATTTTGGAGAAACGACCCACCACCCTGAGAATGGTGGTGTTACCATCAGAAAGTGGAAGTCCAGTAACAAGGTCCAGGGAAATGTCTGACCAGGTCTGATGTGGAACATGCACTTTTGTTCCAGGAACACACAGGCAGACTGCCACATATTTCAAAACCTGCTTCTCCATGGCTGGCCACTAGAAGATGGTCCTCCTAATCCCAGGATGACAGGAGACAAGAGAGGTGTGTGCCCAGTGGATAACCTGAGAACAGATGGACACTGGTACAAACAACCATTTTAGGTGGGACAACCGTCCAAAGGAGAGGAACATAACCTCCCGCCTGACCTTGTCCTCAATATCCCACATAACTGCACCCACCACACAGGAGGCGGGCAGAATGTCAGAGAATGATAGAGTCACTAGAGGAGTCATTGTCAAACTGACGGGACAAGGCATCAGGCTAACATTCTTGGAGCCAGGGTGATAAGATAAAGCAAACTTGAATCTTTTAAAAAACAGAGCCCACCTGGATTGTTGAGAGTTCAGTCTTATGCATATATATTCCAGATTCCGTCCACACCAAAAAACTTTGCCCCATTCAACCAATGCCTTCACTCCTCCAAACGCCACCTTAACTGCCAGCAGTTCACGGTTACCCACATCATAGTTATGTTTGGCTTTGGACAGTTTCCTGGACAAGAAGGTGCATAGATGAAGTTTGTTGTCCTTGGGGGACTGCTGGGCCCCTACCCCCACATAATAATACCATAGAAATACCTGTTTTTAATGGCAATATCATTGAAGATGAGAGATGTAGGGCCCAAGGAAGGATCCGGAAGAGACTATTAAAGAGGATCTGGATCAACCCACGTAGACTACTCTGAACTGGAAGTCGGGGAACAGAAAAAAAGCAAACAGATAAGAGAGCAATTTTTTCCCCAGCCCGTTACCTCTCCAGTGGCCCAGTTGATACTGGGATTGTGCTGGACGAGCCACAGGAGACCCAGAATGAGTGGACGGAGAGGTGAGCTGTATAGGTGGAAGAAAAGCTCTTTGGAGTGTCCATGAGCCATGACGATCTTGACAGGTTGAGTGCAATGAATAACTCTGCAGAGCAGCCTTCCATCAGGAGCGTTAGCCTCAAGGGTCTTGGGTATGGAAAACACTGAGAGCTTTAATTATTTATTTATAATTATTCATTTATTTATTATTTTAGCTAGTTTCCAATCCATAAAGCTCTCATCAGCACCAGAATCAGCTAATGATGGAGGACAATGAAGACAGGGTGATTAGCTGAAGCTGAGTCAGGGGGTGAGATAAGAGGGCAGAAGAGGTTATTTGGCTCACCGATGCCCTCTTCTACAGTGGTGATCCCATGCTGCTCACAGTAGATATACTGTCCCTCCTGAAGATGGCGATGTCACTCCTCCAGAGAGAGATGAGCTTGACCCAACTGCAAAGGCTCCTTCAAGGAGTATGGGAGTGCGACAGGAGACCTCTGGCGAGACAAGGAAGTGGCATACCTGGATCTGTCTTTCTCTCTCTACATCAGTCAACTGTCAATCTTGATGGCTAGAAAGATGGAGGAGTCCCAGTCAGCAGGGTGATCTACGGCCTGATCTACGGAGTTGTGTGCACACTCTGGCGTGGCCCAAGCCTCAGCCCGACAAGTGAGATGAGAAATAATACAGGCTACCTTGGCTCATTCCGTGGGAAAGGCTGCCACCTGCATCTCAAAGTGGAGTCCACAGTCCAACATTTTTTAGAGTCTCCAGAAAAACGTTCAGTTTCCACCATCGCAGGAGCAGAAGCCACTGGATGCAGAGCTGGCAAAGTCAATGAGTCAAACCGACTCAACAGCTGTTGCATTTGTTTATTCAGGTGACTGACTTGGTCTGAGATGGAGGACTGGATGCCCTCATGGTAAGCGTTGAGCTCATGCACACCATGGAATACAAAGGGAAGCTGCTCCTCATGTTTTTTGAGTTGGCGGCCTTGAGAACGGATCGCAGCCTAAGTGGCGGAAGAGATGGCTGAGTCCATTGTGGCCAGTTTGTGCTGTCACAAACACTGGATAAGAAATCAAAAATGCACGACTCAGAGCAGCAATCACAGGCAGGGTCTTTAATGGAAACCAGGTCAGTACATAGGAGGTCAGTCAAACAAGGAAAACAAATCCAAGGGCCGAGGCAAAAAGCTGGGTCAGTCAGAAAACAGGTCATACACACATTAGACTATACACAGAAAGAATACTTGTACATTTGCTACAAAGAACAAAGACGAACTGGCACAGAGGACAGGAAGCATGCAGACTAAATACACTAGGAGGGGGAAGACAATTGGACACAGGTGCAACACATTAGGGGCAGGGGTCAACAATCACAGTAGCAGGAAACACACAATGGCAGGAAGTGGAAAAGTTAGACAACCCAAAATACAACAGGAAGATGTGCTGTTGTAGAAAAAGTGGCACAATAACTGTAAATCAATTATTGATTACATGTTTATCAGTAAACATGCGAAAAGGGTGTTCAGTTTTTTCCTGCAACCTGAAAAGATTGTAATATAGTGTTCTGATTAATTTCAACCCAAGTATACATGTCACATTTAACTGGGAAATAGAAAAAGAGGGTGTGTTGCTATTTTTCAATTATCTTATATCCAAAGTTCCAAGGATCAACTCTGCATGAAAGTAGACAAACATACCTGTTTACAAAAATAGTGGCTTTAAAAAGCTTCACCCCATAAATCACGAGTTTATATCATAACACATGTCTACTGTTTTGTCATACTCACCTCTTGAAGAGTAGAATAGCAATGACTATGACGATGATGAGAATGACAGCCAGGACTGGACCCATCACCCACAGCATCTCTGGGTCCTCAGTTTGTCGGGTCATCCCATGGTGGAGCTTCACCATGATGGGCTCGGAGAACGGGCTAGCCGCAAAAGTTGTGTGCTGCAAATGACCAGAGGTGATCCAGTGCCAGGTCAATCACTGAGTTATACACAGAGAACATCTTTGATAAAGGCCCTATTCAAACATGGATTACCTACTTTAGGTTGCCATGCTGTTGAGTTAAAATAATCCTGTGTCATCCAGTTCTCATCCAGCTAATTTAGTTCTTTGAAAGCAGTTTTAAGTTTGGTAGGTGATGTGAACATGAATGTCTCGATCACTGTGTTGTTTATTGATTTCCAATAGCAATGTAGAATAAATTATATAAATGTTCTTGTCAGTGAAATTACGTATTATTTACCTGAAGAGTAGAAACACATGGCATTTTGAGATGTCATGATTATATATACATATTTCTAATACTGTAAATTTGGATGGATGGGATTCAGTATCCTTCTGAATAATAAGAATTGCTTTAATCTGACTGTAACTTCCCCACTTCCAAATATAACGGTTGCCATATTTGAAAGTTAATTTATAATACTGAAAAACTGATTATGACACAGATATGGGAAATTTATTTCATACCCATCCTGCTGCTTCGAGTGTAAACATGAGAAGACAAGAGCTTCTAAATTAGAGCAGTGCAGAAAACGTGATCCAGTAAGCATGTGGTATATAAAACATCCATACTTTTCTTGTGGAAGATCCATACTATCACTCTCCCTGGGTGCTGTCACACTCATCATCCTACCGTCATAAATATCAACTTTCCCAAGTCATTCGCCATGAGAGTGACATCACTTAGTATGCAGGAATGACACTTGCTACAGCTGTTCATTATCACTAATTTAATTTTCAAAAATAATTATTTACAGTTTATGTCAATAGAAACTGGAAACACAAAGCAATTTGTAGGAAGTGGGTTAGTCCAGCATCACTGCATATTATTTTTGTGTCTCACATGAAAGATGGCTTCAGCCTTAAATATCATAGTTGGACTGTTGGGAGTCCACATTCTACCATCTTTGAGATGACTTTGTAACTCTTTCAAGCTTTATGCAAAAAACAGTTCTTCTTGTAAATCGTCTGAGATTAAAGCTTTTTTTTCATCTTTTTTGCAACTCATGGTTAGCATCAGCAGGTGCTTTTCTGAATAGCAAACTCAATATGTCTGAGAATTTGTGGGTGTACCGCAACAGCAGATCAAGTTACACCATTGGTCGGCCAGCTGAGTGTTGGAGTTTCTCATGTGGTTGTTGTGCTTTCAAAACAATTTAGGGGGAAGAAGCAATAAGCAGCAGTGCCAATTTAGCACCTTTGTTGCTAGATTTACTAACTTTTCAGATCCCTTTTGCACATTTTTACAAGTTAATATTGCTGAAATCATAGTTCAGCCATTATCTGTATGTGTATAGTGATTTTGTCAGATCACGTTGTGGTTATAAAATTAGGATTTTAGCAGTGCAAAGCAGCAGCTTGGAAATGGCTTGGAGGTTATTGCTGGGTTGCTGCATTTCACTCACTATTTCATACTTGTTCTATTGTTGGACAACAGACACAAAAATTTAAATGAGAACAAGCTTTATTGGAAATTCAGCTGTATTAAAATGCTGTATGTGAGCATAAAGAGTATGAGAGAATCAAACAGAGAAAGGGCTGAAACCAGCTGACACTAGACCTAGTCTTGTTTTGTATTATTTTTGCTTAAATACACAAATACACATTTCTTTTTATTTTGTGGCAAATTAACACTCATGAACACATGCTATTATACAGTTTTGTGTGCTTTGACACTCATTATTTCCATTATCCCCTATTTTTTATATAAAAAAAATAATGTGCATGTTTATGTAGTGTGAGTAATTTTCATCAATATATCAATATCAGAACAGTGAGTGGGTACCATTTGACAGGCAGCATGCTCCCCGCTTACCCTCCCACAGCCAACCAGTCTCTGCAACCAGAATTGCAACCAAATATCTTATTTGCTTGACAGCCTGGCACTTACTGTCAGCACAGAGGATGTCAGAAAAGTACTCCAGGGTGTTAACCCCAGGAAAGCAAATGGTCCCTGATGCCATCCTGGGGAGGGCACTCAGAGACTGTACAGATCAACTGGCAGAGGTATTCAGCAAAATCTTCAATCTCTCTCTTTCAACATGCACCATTCCCAAATGCCTTAAATCTGCCACCAATGTGGCTGTCCCAAAGCAAACATCTATTAGTTGCCTTAATGACTTCAGACCAGTGGCTTTCACCGCCACTGTAATGAAGTGCTTTAAGAGGCTGGTCCTGAGGCACATCAAATCAGCACTTCCACCAGCCCTGGATCAACACCAGTTGGCCTACAGAGCCAACAGGTCAATGGAGGATGCCATCAACACAGCCCTGCACACTGCACTGTCCCATCTGGAACATCCTGGCACATACTGTATGTTAGGATGCTGTTTTTGGACCAGTTCTGCATTCAACAAGACCATCCCCAGCAGAATGGAGACCAAACTGCTGGACCTGTGCATGAGTCAGCACACATGCAGCTGGATCAAGGACTTCCTAACCAACCGATCACAGTCAGTCAGGTTGGGGACCCACCACTCTTCAACCCTGACACTCAACACTGGAGCCCTACAAGGGTGTATGCTGAGCCCTCTTCTGTTTTCCCTCTACACACGACTGTATACCAACTCACAGCACAAATACCACAATAAAATTTGCTGACAACACCCCTGTGGTTGGACTGATACACAATGGTGATGAGTCTGAAGACTGACAGAATGGTGTACCACTAACAATTTAGCACTCAACATCTCCAAAACAAAGGAGAAGATATTCAGCTTCAGGAAACAGGGTGTAGAACCTGCTCACATCAGAGGAGATACAGTGGAGAGAGTATCTTCCCTCAGATTCCTAGGCACACACATCTCACAGGACCTAACATGGACCCTAAACATCACAGCTCTGGTGAAGAAAGCACAGAAGCGGCTGTATTTTCTCAGGACACTGAGGAGAGCCAACCTGTCCCAGCAGCTGCTTCTGTCTTTCTATCGCAGCAACATTGAAAGTATCCTCAACTATGGCATAGTGGTATGGTTTGCCAGCTGCACTTCAGCTGACAGGAAAGCTCTTCACAGAGTCAGGAAATTAGCACAACAAATCACTGGCACTCAGTTACCATTACTTGAGGACATTTACAGAACCTGCTGCCTTCTATGGGCCACAAACATCATCAGAGATTCATCTCACCCAGGTCACCACCTTTCCACCCTGCTGCCCTCTGGAAGGAGATACAGATCCTTAAGATCTCACACTTCCAGATTCCTGGCAAGTTTTTACCCAAGTGCTATCAGAGTACTTAATGGCTGAACATCAGGCAACATAAGTGCAACCATATCCTTTGAATAATAACCATATCCTGTGAGTGTGCAATATTATGTGAATTACCTATGTGCAATAATAACTGAGTATATGGATTCACTCTGCTTTTATACTTCTGTTAATTTTTTGTTTTTTATTTATATGTTTGGAATGTGTCTACCCTAGTTTCGCCACTATATGTACTTATGTTTACTCTGTGTATTACTCCATGTACCACTGGAGACATGTAATTTTGTTGTACAGTGTGCAATGACAATAAAGGCATTGAATTGAATTGAACTGAATTGAATTGAAATGTAAACAGTGATATAAGACATGAGGACCTCTCAGCCACTTTTATTTTGTCAGTGTGGCTTAAAGCCCAGGTAAGAATTGTTAGTTTTTCATCGTATCTTAAAGGAACATTTATTATTTATTAGGGCCCCAGCCAAGGGTGCCAGGGCCAGAATGGTCCCTTCAGTGAGATAATTGGTCCTATCATAAAGGACATAATGCTTATTTTTCAAATCTTTTGAAATTTTCATTTTATGAACATGTTTTTGAGGTCTTTAGGATACATATTAACTCACAAAAACTTTGCATACGTTTGTACTTGTGAGTAGTTTGATTTGATATTGCAGTTGGGCATGTTGGCTCTACAGCACCCCCTAATCACTGAGAGTGTTTTTGAGATGCTAGGAGTGCTCAAAAACTCACAAAACTGCACATACAGTACATTGAAAGTCGGATATCAATATTTGATATGGGTGTTGGGCTTGGGTGTGGCAAAAAGGGCACAAGGGCACCCTAGACAATTTCAACAAAGTAGTGTAGTAAATTTTCACTAAAATATACTATGCATTACAAACACATTGAATGGTAAACTTATATGGCACCACTACTATAACCTGGCATGCCTGGTTTAGGGAAATTCCACGAAAGAATTATACTCATTGATACTCAATCCTGCTACTTTCCACTGACACAGAGAGTTCAGACCTGTGGCTTTAACGTCACACGTCATGTAACCTTTGAGAAACTGGTCCCCCAACACCTTAGGCCCCTGGTACGTGACCACCTCGATCCACTTCAGTCCACATACCAGGCTGACATTGGTATCAACTTCTCCAGTGCGTTTGACACTGTTCAGCGACTCTTAGTTGAGTAATCCGTCTTTCTTAGGTGGGCTCTCCACCTATTTTCTAAAGTGAACCTATCAATGCTATGGCAACAGTTAGCCTGTGTAGATGCATAGAGAAGGCAAATCCAAGATATAAATTTATCCCCAAATCCGAATTTTTTGAGTACTGAAAAAAGATGTTCCCACTCTACTTGATCAAACCCTTAAACAGCTTATTCATGAAATTGGGATGATCCAAATTTTGCTGTGTATATATATATTCACTAGTACCCCTGCATTTTGTAATAGCAGGCCTACAATAATCAAGTATCTGCCATTTTTATCCGAGACAACCATTTTAGGGAAAATTTGACACTTTTATTACTCTTAATTGTTACCCCTTCGGCTTTAGAAATGAAATAAGAAAAATATTTGCAGCCCATGGGTATGAGAATCTAACACAGTCTTTATTGCGTTGATGGATTTATTGTAATAAAGCTATGTCAGTATAAAGGTGTTTAAAATAAAAGAAAAAAAAAAAAGCCAAGTTTTTAACAATATCAAAATACTTAATCTGAAAACTTACTTAACATGTTCTTTTGTATTGAAATTGGCAACTTTTCAATTTTCAAAGGACCTGGTCTCAAATTACCATGTTTATCTTAAAAGAACAGAAATATCCCCAATATCAGTTTTATTATATGTACAGAAAAAAAAGAAAACAACTGTACATTTGCAACAGTAATTAGAGGGTTGATCCCCTTGTAAACACTGCTAGTTTCATTAGGGAAGACAATACAAAAAAGACCTATACTATCAAGCCTAGTATTTTAAATATAAAGATGCTCAAATCAGGAAAGTTACCTGGCTTGTCCACAGTAGGTGTGTATATCAAATAAAATAAAATAAAATTAGCCAAGTGTAGAAACAGGATATGGTCCCAAAATACCATGTTATTATTTTACAAAAACATCACCAGCCTCAGGATTTAGTTGTGTTGTATATACAGAGGATAAACTGTGCTTGTAAACCATTAATTATAGAATTAACCCACTTGGAAACACTTTCAGTGTGTCATGTAACAAACTATATCGTCCCATATTGCCTGTGTGTATTTTAAATGGTGTAATAATTTTACAAACTCAACAAAGTTATCTGATCAACACCTCAATTATCATCAAGAGGTACAATCTTAGTCCCCATCTGCCTTAAGAGAGTTGATAAATGCCTTGGCCTTGTCTGACAAACTCCTTTTCCTCACCTTTGTATGTAACTAGTAGATGGCCTGGCTGCAGTAGACCAATGTGTAAACCTGGAATCTCTTGGGGCTGCTGTTGGACATCATTGAACGCTACAAGTTCACGGGCTATTTTGGCCATGAGGTCCAGAAATATGGAGATATTTATGTCTTGAATCTTCATCTCCCTCGATCCCCTCATTTTCCGAAGAATGTCAGCACAGAGTAGGAATGTAATCTGGCTATAACTGCACAAGGACGTTCTCCCGATTTGGGCTTTGGCTGAAGTGTGTGGTGGGCTCCGTTGAGTTGGGTTACTGTGTCAAGCTGGAAAGCCTCTTTGAGCAGGGTGGCCACTGTAGCAGTAGTGTAGAGACTGGCATCTTGGGGAATACCCACAATCCTAATATTATTGCGTGGTGAGTGGGATTCCAAGTCTTTATTTTTTTTCAAATTTGACAATTTGCGCAGAGTGAAGTGCCACTGTTTCATGGAACACTGTGATGTTGTCCGTAGAAGTGGACAGAGACTGTAGAAGTGGACAGAACTGTCTTTTAGCCAGGTAAAGTAGGTTTTAATTGTTGCTATACTGTTAGCCAACTTTTTTTTATGGCCTGGAGCACAGTTTGATAGATAATAAGTCATCCCCCAAAGCAGTTTTCAACTCGGTTTTGAAGATTTGTGCAATCTCTCTGAGGAATGAGGAGAGAAGCCTCACCTATTGTAGCCTCTACCAACATGGAGGAAGTTTCCTAGCTAGGTAAGTCTCTCTGAGACCCTATTATCCTTAGCATGACCATGTTGAGCTAACCGCAGATGCAGTGTATGCAGGAAATCGCCAAACAATCAACTTACGTTGACTGTGCCAAAACAGTGCCGATGAAAAGGTGCCGAAAACCTTTAAGGTGGGCTAATTCTGCATGAGCTCCCTCAATGTGTGTCTTACCCCACTGACTGCTACGCCGGAAGTCAGCATCACAAATTTGCATCATTATCATCATCACGTTTTATCTTCATCAATTTAAATATTAAACTGAAACTGGTCAGATAATGTTTTTGCGATGTTTAAGAAGGCACAGTTGTGGAAAGTACATTACTAGGATTAATGTGTTTATTAAAAAGTTGGTTATATAATTGCTAACACACTTGGCTTATTAGATAAGCTCTCATAGGAAAAGGTTAGGAAAGCAACCCTAACCCCCTCAACCCAACCCTTAAAGAAGAGCCCTGTATGGGGTTTTCAGTAGCTTGTGTCTTAATCGACCAGATAAAGGTGCCCTGATGCTCCACGGAAAAAATGGCTTCACTTCCTGAGAGATACACCTGCAGATGACTCATGGACATGACTTGTATCATTGAGAGCCTGGGACTCTTTTGTTTCACAGATAGAAGGGAGGAAAAACATTGCTATTCACAACAAACTCACACTGAAGCTGCAAGAATGTGACCCACAGAGTAGAAATCAAGTTTTTACATAGTTTTATGAAAACTCATCCTCATACCACTGTATGAGGATGGCCATTCTGTCATCCTTTGGTGTAGTTTTATGATTCATTAAATGGCAAAAGGAGTCAAGCACAGCTTTACTGACATTGCACTGCTACATACATGGCAGACTGTAATTGTAAGCTTAATCCAGTCTAATGCTCAATTTTGCTTCTCTTTCACATTGCAGCGAGCTGTAATCAAAATGTTGTAGAGTATGTGACTTAAAATAATTGGTATGATACCAATGATCAAGTGCACAATAACATTATAATGGAGAAAATAACAAAAACCCCTTAGTACTCCCTGCATCCCTCTATCAGCATGTGGATAAACAGGTACTGTTGTAAAGATGTTGTATGAATTAAGTAAGATTTTGTATCAACATTTCTGCTAGATCAACCGTTGACAGCACTATTCACAACACTTTATGCATTCCTTAAATCATCTGACTGCAGGCTGAGCAGATGAATCTCTGGTAGGCAAGAAATGTTGGTCAGCTCTCTGCATCAGTTATTATTTCCCACATGGCTGCTAATGAACTGTCATGAGAATATTTATTATTATATTATAACAATGATGTTTAGTGGACTGATGAAACTAAGTTTAAGATTTTAGGAAAAACATGCAGCACTATGTATGGCGTAAAAAGGGCACTGGGCAATTCTATAAGGAAGAATGGTCCAAAATTCCTCCTTAACATTATATGGGTCTGATCAGCACCTACTGCAATGTTGAATGTTTAATGGGTGTTTTCAAGAAATACACAAAAGATGATTGAAGATGATTGAAAATGATAGTTTATGTGATATTAGATTAATACATATACAGTTTATAGTGATAGAACTACAAACCATCTAGGCCTTGTGACTGCCTACCAACTGGCCAAAGACATACCATCCTCTGCTCAAAGAATTTTAAGGACTATACACGTGCACACACCATTAGCGGGGAAGGGTTGCAGCTCTAAAGTGTATTAAAGGTATTACACATGCTCATATCCTTGTAAATACATAGAGGTCACTCACAGCTTCGTCGTCCATCAGGTCAGCCAGGACAAAGCAGCGATAATGCTGCTGGCCAGGGAGGGGTTTGTTGTAGTAGCCATTGTATTTCTTCTCATCACCCAGAGTGAAGATCTCAGGCAGAACCTCCAGTTTGGCAGTGATGTAGGGCTGCAGGAAGTCCTGGCTCTGTCTCCTCTTTCTCTGCACACTGCTGTTAGCACCGGCCTCCAGGAGCTGCCAGAGGGATGACACAGTAAGAGAGTCTGGAATGGACATATCACGAAGAGGCATGGAAAATAACACATGACGGAACAAATTGATCCCTGTAGGAGATGTTTTTTGGTTTGTGCTTACCTCCACACAGACAATAAGGGACAGTAAAATATACTTCCCACATTATTTCTTTAAACACTTATTTTCTGTTTTATTTATTTATCTTTTTTCCAAGTATCTTTATGGTTGCCAAACCTATCCATAATCTGTGACTTTTATATTCCTCCACATCTGTCCAACAACTTTCTTTCAAAGTTTGGAAACATACTACCTGGTCCTAATCATAGGAAAACATATATTTTTAAACAGTGAAAACAATTGGTAAAGTTAAAGGAACAGTTCAACATTTCGGGAAATACACATTTTCACATTAAAGTCCTTTCCAAGAACAAGGTAAGAATAGTGTTATCAATATCATGTCTCAGGCCAAAAAGTGAGGCGGGAGTTAGGATGTGGTCAGCCTAGCTCAGCAAGAAATAGCCCCAGCATAAAATCGCCCCTAAAACAAAAATGTCAAGATTGCAAAGTAATGTGGAGTGTATTTTTAGCAAAAACTAAGCACTTACGTTGTTAGGTATAAAGTTATTACCACCAATATTTTTTTTCCATAAAACTATGAAAAAAATATGTTGTGATAAACCAGAGGGATCATTTAAGGTTAGACAAAGCTTTTACACAAGACTGATGACTGTCACAGTACTTCTGCATTTGCGTCTAACATAACATAAAAATGGGTCATTAAAACTGATAAAGCTGAGCATACTATCCATGATGTTGTTTTTCTGCTGAGCACAGAACTTCCAGTGGTCTGAATACTACAGTTAAATAGTTAAAAGTCAAAGTTGAGGCATCTACATCAATGGTCAAATCAAAGCCCCAATTTGTGTACATAGTCATAGATAGTAATTTTCAGAATCTATAATGAGACTGAATTTGCTTAGGTATATAAGGATTGCCAGATGATAGAAATTCCTTACAACTGAGTCTTGACAGAAAAGTATAATGGAGTATCTTGATACACAAATAGGTATCTCTTAATTTTAGTAAATTCTGGTTTGTGACAGTATTGTTATGTCCTCACCACCTGCCCCAGCATCTATTGTGTATCTGTATCTATTGTCTACAGTGCAACATTCATGCTGCTGAATGCCCGCTCACTTAACAATAAAGCACTACTCATCCATGACATCATCATTGAAAATGTACTTAAATGAGACATGGCAAAATCAGCAGGAATTTATGTCACTTGATCAAGCCACTCCATCAGGCTTTGTGTACATACAGAAGCTTCGCTCCAAGGGTTGTGGCGGTGGGTTGGATCCCCCAACACCTTGGTGGATGGACTGCCCCCCTCAAAACCCGGACTCCTGCCCTGCCCCCTGGTTCACCACAGAACCTCATGGAGAGGCTCTATAAGATATCTGGCCACACAGTCCACCTTGAGGCCTATAAAGAACATGTGAAGTCCTACAAAGCAGCTCTCTCCCAGGCCAAAACACAATACTACACCCTCATTGGCAACCAGCAAAGCCACCCCAGGTTGCTCTTCTCCACCATAAACCGGCTACTTAGCCCCCTTGACCCACACCCCCCAGCCCCACCCTATGAGTGCCCCTGACCTCCGCTATAAGTTTCTGGACTTCTTCCAGGAAAAAGTTGACTCTATCCATCTGCAGCTTCTGGCACTTGCCCTCCACACACGTCAGCTTCAGGGCATTGCTCCCCCTGCTGTTTTCCCTCTCCTGCTCTCTGGACTCCATGCCCACAGCTTTGGTCAAGGCACCTGCTCTGTGCCCCCTCATGGTGGACATCATCAACTTCTCCTTGGAATCTGGTTTGGTACCTTCCAGCTTGAAAATTGCCTCAATCACTCCCATTCTCAAGAAGCCAGGTCTGGACCCCAATGACCTCAACAACTACCAGCTGATCTCCTACCTTCTTTTCCTGGAAAATCCTAAAATCCTGTAAAGAGTAGTGGCCGCCCAACTCCATCAACACATGTCCTCCCATGAGCTCTATGAACCCTTTCAATCCGGCTTCAGAGCACACCACAGCACAGAGACCACCCTCATCAAAATGACTAATGGATTATTGGAGGATTCAGCTCCATCTCTGCCACAGTCAACCACGATATGCCTCAAGGCTCTGTGCTTGGATCCCTCCTCTTCACCATCTACATGCTCCCCCTTGGTCATATCATCCGACACCACAGTTTCAGCTTCCATTCATATACTGGCAACACAAAGCTTTATCTCAGCACTAAACCCTCCACCCAGCTCCCCCCACAATAACTTGTCAACTGCCTGCATGAAATCAAAATCTGGATGTCATCTAACCTACTCAAACTCAACAGCAATAAAACAGAGCTCATGGTTGTGGCTCCCAAGGCCCTGCTCCAGAAGGTTGGAGATTTACAGTACTTCTGGACATTGATGGCTGATCCATCACCCCACCCCTGGAAGTCCGCAACTTGGGTGTAATCGTGGACTCCACTCTCTCATTCCAGGCACATATCAAGTCCATCACCAAATCTGCTTCTCTGCATCTCTCAATTTATTACTATTATTATTATTACTGTCTGGCTCTGTAGCAGAGACCCTCATCCACGCCTTCATCACCAATTGCCTGGATTACTGCAATGAAGTCCTATTAGGAGTTCCCAGCAAAACCCTGGACAGGCTCCAGTATGTCCAAAACTCAGCTGCCAGGGTTCTCACCCGCACTAAGCCCTAGCATCACATTACCCCCACCCTCATCCAACTTCACTGGCTTCCAGTCAAATCCTGCATCCAGTACAAAATTCTCTCCCTCACCTAAAAATCCCTCCATGGTCTAGCCCCCCCCCCAGTACCTGTCTGTCTGACCTCCTCCACCCCTATACCCCATACCGGAACCTATGGTCCTTAGACACGGGTCTGCTCTCCACCCCCTACACCAGCCTCCAATCTTTCAGTGACAGAGCATTCAGTGTGGCATCCCCCACACTCTGGAACTCTCTCCCAGCAGAGATCCGCACAGCCTCATCTCTGGACATTTACAAAAAACTGTTGAAAACCCACCTGTTCACCAAGGCCTATGGCCTCTAGCTCACTCATCTCCTACAATCTCCTCCCATCATTGCCATCCTCATTCTGTCTTGTCTAGTTTTCATTTATTTGTTTTATTTATTTACTTTGTGTCTTCTTACTCTGTAAAGCGACCTTGGGTACCTTGAAAAGTCCTTAAAAATAAAAAATTAAAAATTAAAAGTTATTATTATTATTATTATTATTATTATTTTGGTATCTTGTAACATGAATGCAACTGTATGTCTTCCCCACTCTGGATGTACAAAGTAATGTTATGTTCTACTTGGAAATAAATAGATAAAAAAGAAAATGAAAAAAAAGAAACATCTGTCCTAGTTGTCAGAAAATTGCACTTTGGAAGATACTAGACTTTCTGATTAGACACGACTGGAATTGAAGAATTTGAGGTTGTGACCGTCAGGGGAAGTACAGATGGTCATGGGTTCATTACAGAAGAGCAGCTGTTTCCATTCTTTCCAAATGTGTGAGTCTGTGTGTGTGACATCTTTCACTGCCATCTGCTCCCAATCTCCACCTTATGTTAGTGTCGTATTTACATGCTACTCATCAATATTCACTGACATGCAGGGGAAATTGCCACTAAACTCACTGGAGAAACTTAAATAGCACTAGACCACAAATACAACAGTTTTTTTCAGTCTTGACAGCTCAAACACAATCATTTGTGATCAATCAAAGTGGAATCCTTTGGGAAAACTGAAGCACAAGTAGGGTTGCAAAATTCCAGGAATTTTCAAAGTTTGGGAATGGGAATATATATGGTAATAAACAGGAATATATGGGAATAAATGGGAATAAACAGAAAATTTACAAAATTGAACCAGATTTAATGCAAGTACACTTGAATATCTATGCTATTCCTCAATCACATGCACACAGCACACTGCTTACTGCTGGGCTATTGAGGCCACACCCCCTACATGCACTGTACATTCCTCCATAACATGCACAGATGATTTCTAGAACCCTGGAGGATTGAAGCCACACATTTGAGCCCGCGGACTACATAAAGTCAAGTAAGTTTTGATAATATTGTGGGGTAAATATACTTGATCTATGGTATTAATGTTTAACATGAACTGGCGCTCGGGATCAGGCATCTGGAGGATGGGTGCCGAGGTGAATCTGGACTTGAGGGTCTTGAAGGCCTCATCGGCAGCATAGGTCCACTGTAAGGGCATTTTGGAGGAGGTGAGGGCAGTGAGAGGGGCGGCCACAGAGCTGTAGTTGTGGACGAAGTTGTTTGTGGGAGTCAGGAATGGGCCAGGAGGTGACAGCAGAGACCTTTACCGGTTTCATCTGCATGCTGCCCTGTGCCACGATGTTCCCCAGGAAGGAGATGGGTGAAGCATGAAAATCACACTTCTTGGCTTTGACGAACAGTTCTCGAGGAGACGCTGGAACACTGACTGGAAGTGATGGATGTGTTCCACCCGGGTCTTGAAGAAGATGAGGATGTCATCGAGGTAGACGAAGACGAAGCAGTTGAGCATGTCTCGAAGCACGTCATTCACCAGGTCTTGGAAGATGGCAGGGGCGTTGGTGAGATTGAAGGGCATTATGAGATATTAGTAATGCCCTGTGGGTGTGTTGAATGCTGTCTTCCACTCATCACCCTCTCTGATGCGGACAAGTTGGTAGGCGTTGTGATGGTCAAGCTTGGTGAAGATGGTGGAACCCTGAAGCAGTTTGAAGGCTCACGAGATGAGAGGCAGAGGGTACCGGTTCATAATGGTGATGTCGTTCAGACCCCGGTAGTCGATGCAGGGTCTTAGGGTCTTATCTTTCTTTTTGATGAAAAAAAAAAAAAAACCCGCCCTGGCCGGACATGAAGAGGGGCAGATGATGCCTGCAGCCAGGGAGTCATTAAGGTAGATCTCCATGGCCTTCCTTTCTGGAGCAGACAGAGAGTACAGACAGCCCTTGGGTGGTGACGTGCCAGGCAGGAGATCGATGGCGCAGCACCATCAAGTGATTAAAGGCCACCCTCACCTCCTCAGCGGTGAAGGTGAAAGGCTGAAGCGAGAATAGCAAAGAACCGTTAGGAAGGGGCCACAAGTCTCTGGGTCTCCATCATAGCGCTCTGGGGTTCCCACCAATGGCTCAGGGGCATCTCTGGGCGACGGGGAAGCTGGAACTGGTTCCTGTGCAGTTGGAGCTGGTGAGGGCCTGGGAGCAGCAGGCTGAGTGAGGACAGCCGTTAGCTGCAGCATTTGTCCTACTAATGCCGCTAATACTGAGAGTACGTGGATAGGGCGAAGGCACCGTTGGGGGGCAGGCAGGAATCCTGACCAATGAGGATGCAGAGTCGCTGACAGACGGGCAGGCAGCGGAGCAGACAAACCTAGAGGGAGCAGGCAGAAGGGTTGTCGAGGTCAGGTAGAGGATGAAGAACCAGCAGAACAGGGAACGCCAAAGGCACTCACATGGAGATGTGGAGTCTCTGATGACGGCAAGTGGAATGGCACTCGAGTGAGCTGAAGCAGTCAAATGCCACACAGCCACAGGCAGATGAGAAACAGGAAGAGCACAGGCAAAACTCGTAGTCAGGGACAGAAGGCTGTTGGGTTTATTGGGGCAGAGATGAGGAGAGGTGGTCAGAGTCAAGCCGAGTCGAAACCAAGAAATCAGTCTGAGAAAGAGTGCTGGAAGGTCATGCACGAGAGCGAAGACAATCTGGTGATGAGTGAGTGAACCGAGGCTGCTAAAATACTGGCTTGATTAGAGATGGAGCGCAGCTGGGAGCAACAGGTGAGGACGGTGAGGCTGATGAGAAGGTGTGGCGGGGTGGAGAGTGAGACGGAGGCGGGGTGAGTAGAAAATCCCCACCGCAGCAGGAAAGAAGCAGAGCAGGCTAATAGCTCAGATTCTTCACCGGCATTACCTTGTGGCTGGATTTTTCCTTCCAAACTATGGACTCTCCCTAAATAACAATATTGCACCATCAACCTGTCTTTGCAATATAACCTCTGTCTTCTTCTGCACGTGGGTCCAGTGAAAATCACATTTGTTGTCACATCGACCATATAGAATGGTGCTATTTATCATAAATTTAAAAAATGTGGTTTTGGTCTTACGTTCATTAGCTGGGTACAAGCTTTGTATGGTGCCCCATCTTCCTCTGTTAGAACAAGTGGATTAGTCTCAAAACCCTTTCCTCTACAATAAGGCAGTGGCAGGGTTGTCTGGTCAGCCCCCTACTCCACTCCATTAATGACATACACAGTGTGAACTTCCATGGACGCAATTTAAAATTGAATATGTATGCCAATGATATTTTTTTTACCTTGTTATTTGGCAGTCTCTCTGCTTACCAGATCAACTGGGATTGGAGTGAGGCAATTCCTATTAACTCCTACACATTTAAATCTGATCTAATAGGCGCCCCTTTTTAAATGTGTAGCATACATACCTCGCCTGGCATCAGTCACAAGCCATTAAAAAAGTTAATTGTAAGGACATGTAGAGTTACATACCCACAATTGACATTTTGTTACTCTTCCCACCATCAAACTATCAAGTTGATAGGAAACAAAGACAAAGGACCTTTCTCTCTCAGCCCTTGCTTTTAGCATGCCAGAGAGACACAGAACCAGACCATGGGTCAAAGGGTCAGTTCCAGAGGATCAACCAATGGACACCAGGCAACTGGAGAATATAGGCAAAATCTCCAGTTTGTAACAATAAGACTCTGTCTAATAATATTTGATTGTTTCTTATATAGGACAAATAACACAAAAAAGGACTGAAATCACTAAGGTGTGAATCATGGCCTCTCTGTGCCATGTATGAACAAACACACATGCACACACACACCATCCTCCCTTCCTCTGTCCCTCTCTAGATAAGAGTCATAAACTACAACCCATATTCCAATCCTGGGTAATGACCAGCAGAACACTCTTCACAGACACAGATCTGAGGAAGAATATAAAATTAAATATTAACTGTTCTGTAACTCATGAGATGTTTCTATGTAATAGTTCAATTCCAAAGTTCTTTCCTATAAAATGTTTGAAATGTAACATGTAGACTTTAAGACAATGTCCTTCATGTGACCATACTGTCAGCATCCTTCACACAAGCTATCACACTATATGACATCCAGAATGGCCATATTATTATTATTACAGTTAAAGAACTGCTGTGTAATCCACATTTATAGACTATTAGCTTTAAGAAATGTTTATATTGTTGTTTGATCAGTTAACCACTTATATTATGATTAATTCCAGGTTTGAAGGATGTCATATGAAATCCACACTTGTATTAATCCTGTCCGTCATTATTAGTGCCATTAGGTTTATATGTTATTTCTTTTAATGTTTTATGGTCATGGTGGAGATGGATGTGCGAGTTTATAGGTAAACTCTAGAATTAAACTATTCAAAAGTTCCGTGGAAAATTATTCTCTTCTCCAAGTTGAAATAAAGGAGAAGATGGGTGACGCCCCTGAAACGTGCGCCAGTCCCCAGAGGATAAAACAGTTGCGATCAATTCACATATTGCTAAAAGCTAAGACAAGAGAAGAGAAGAGAGAAACAATGCTAGAAGCAGAAAGCTAGAGCTAGAAAAACGATGTAGATACTAGAAGCTGAGAGCTCAAAGTTCAGAGTCCCAGCTCAAAGCCTGGCTCTGTAGCTATGTAAACTCTTAGCTCTAAGCTGCTAGCCACCTTTATTATTTCTTTGCCACAGGCTCCAAGTAACATTATTTTGTCTACACCGCTATCTTTTATTTTTATAAGCCAACTCAAGACCAACTGAACCAAAACAACAGAAGTGCCTTACAGTAACTTTGTAACTTTTAATTATAATCAAGTTTTCTTTTTTAATGATTTTTGACAACTTTAGAGTCATCTGGTCAACGCAAGTCTCTTCTAAAGTTATCCAGCCAAAGTGAAGTGTTAGAGTTTATTTTGCATCAACCCACAAGAATCGCCAGCAGATAACACATCTGCCCATGCACAACCGCCTGCAGAGAAGCCAACCAGAAATCAAGAGTGCCCGAGACAGAAAGTCTCCTGGCAAACTCCACCAGAGCTGAACCGCTGAGACACCGGCAGAATCCATCACCGTGATAACGGGACACGTCCTCCAGGAGAATCCACCTAGATCCTGCGTCTCCAGGGTTACCATGGCAACCACAGCCACCTGGGTTCCAGCCAAGGGTCCTCAGCTACAGCGCAACTCACAGTAGGCCAGTCTTAACACTCTGCTCATGACTGGGTTGATGTCGAAATATAGTCATATTTAATTACCAAATCTCATTTGTAGACATTTTTTCAATTCCAATTTCCAATTTTATTTGATTCCTATGGAATAAAAAAAAGCCCAGAATTGTTTACATGTAATTAATCATATACAGATTTGGGGGGGGGGGGGGGGGGGGGCGCCAAAATGTACAGTATTTCAGTATCTTGCATACCATGCAAAGTATCTATTAACATGGGTCTGTGAACCTGATTCTGAGGTAGGCAACTGGGAATGGCTGGAGAAGATCACCATGTCTAGAAATAAGAAAATATCTTTGCCATCATTGTGGTACTGACCAAAACCACCACTCACCTCATTTATGTCCATGTCTTCAGGATTCTGCCATCTGCTCAGAGAAGCCAGGGTGACAAGGACAACCACTATGTAGCACCACCTGAATCAAACACAAAAGCACAACTGCATCACACACCCTTATTCCATGTATACATAGACACATAACATACATTCATACATGCTATTTAATATTTCAGTCATCTACTGCTAATGTAGTGTTTGCACTGACTGTAATTAACACCAAACTGCAACTTCAGTGTGTCACATCTTACTGAAACTTTTTGAGTGGAAGAAAATTAAACGTGACACTGCAGCAGGCATCTTTTTCAAAACTGCCTGGAATTGCACAAATATTGTAAGCTTACCAACTCCTGAGAATAAACGAAACCTGAACATTTTCTTTACAAGAATTCTACCTCTAGTCCTATAATCTTGATGACTCTGAATCTTAGTGACTGGTATGGGTTGGCTTGGTGTTGCAAATATTCTCAAATTGGGGATGCAGCTGTGAGACTTCCACTCTTAGCTCATTTTCAATGTCCAGCTTTGTTCTTAATTGAGGCAACTGCAAAAAAAACTAAAACTATTTAACACAGGATGTGGCAAAAGCAAGGAGTGTGATCAGGGCTCTCATGCCTTGCTGTGGGTAGTCGTATTCCACTCCAATCCAAAATGCAGCCAATGTCTTGGACTTAAACTGCAGCATCATTATTGAATCAGAGGATGTCATCCATGAACTGTTCCTCTCCTGCAGTGCTGAAGTCAGCAACTGTTATTGCACTGAAGGGTCTCGGATCCAGTCATATTGTACAGAATGATGCACTGAAAAATACCTCTGGAAATTTTTTTTCAAGGCAGAGATAGGAGTTTTCATAGATGGGACCACTGTGTTCAGCAGCTTGTTGACCTTGATGAATGATTTCAGGCTCTCAAATTAATCAATATTCCTCTCTTTCACTTGCTGCTCCCACATCTCCAGTTTTCTTGTGAATGATGTGATTTTTTCTGCCAGCTGTGGAAGATGTGTGTTGGTGCCCTTCATCTGCAGATGTAGTTCATTGACTTTCTGAAACATGTCGCTGAGTTTCATGAGGAAGTTGTTATTTTTAAAATTGTTGAACACCCTAGATAAAACCTTCCCATTTGATATCCGGGCTTGCTGGGAAACAAAACAAATATGAGATCAGGTCCCTTTTCCTCGCACAGTATGGGAAAAATCGAGGCTTTTGGATGTCTGTCATTACATCATTCAGCTTGAGACTCAGCTGTTTCGGTGTACCATACAATTTGTCCACTACTCATTGGGGGAAAGGCGCTTGACTAGAACTCGCAGCCCCCCTTGTTTCCCAGCCATTGTTTGAGCCCCATCGGTCATAGTCCTCCCAGTTCAGATCATCAAGTAAATGTAAATGATTTTGAACAGTTCTTCTGCAGTGACTCTGTTTGTTACATGTTTGCAAGCAAATCCTCCCTCAAATCGTCTGCATCGATGAATCTGATGTATGTTATCTATAAACAGTCTTTGTTACTGTCAGTCACTTCATCCATCTGCAGAGCTAAACAATTGTCTCAAAACTTGTCATTAAGCTGCTTGAGTGTTCTAAAACTTTTTTACATGGGTAGTGTAGAGATTGTATTACTTGTTTTTCTCCATCTGCCTGCTTCTCTTATTACAGCTTACTTGTGGGTAATTTCTACAGAGAAACAAACACTTGAAACACAATTAAGGCCAAATATTTTTACAGTGCCTGTCTTCTTGACTGAGCTGGGTAATAAAAAATAACTTTGTACTAAAATGCAGCCTCTGCACTGGGATTTTCTTGGCTGATTAATTGTTGTTTAAAGCTCAACCCTTAAATAAATTGCTTTCTGGTATTAGACAAGTGCTAGGGAGTGGCAGTGAGGTTACTGTTAAAATGGTCATGTGATTATGGATTGTAATCATTGCATTGTAGGGACTGAATGTTTTGTTTTCTTAAAACTACTCTGACCTAAAAGAACTATCTGTTGCAGCATATAATGGAACAACTGGAACAGAACAAGAAGTAAATAAACCGGACCTCTAATGGCTGTTGAAACTCAGGCAACAGCCATTAAAGGTACTTCATACTTCCATACTGAAGAAAAAATAAAAATGTGACAATCTTCCAGCACAGTGGTCCCCTACCACCAGGCCCTGGACTGGTATCTTGGCATATTTACCTTTTGGCATATATAGGCTGCAAGCATAGAACAAATTACTCATCTATATATTTATTTTTAATTGGTTAAATGTCGTGATTAGTGTGAACAGCAGAAGATCTGGACACAGAACCAGGTGACGAGGTGAAGTAAAGATAACTCAAAGATTACTCGAGTTGATGACAACTATCACTGAACTATCACTCTAAGTGCAATAAAAAGTAAAAGGCCAATAAGAACTTTAGCAAACAAGCAACAAACAGAAAAGAGATATTTTCATCTATTTTGTCTGCTGGCTCCCAGTATCTTTTACACAACATCATGAGCTAATAGTGAATTGTTAGGAAAAGCTAAAATGAAAGCTGTCAGGATGTAAGTCTAACTGATTATCTTAGTTTACCATGAACTGAGCAACTGGCTGAGACAAACCAGTCCAATCAATTCATACCCTGTGGAACTTGTTGCAGCATGGTGAGAAAAAACAACAAAAAATTTAATTGTTTACCGAATTGAAACTTTAAAGAAGGGATATCAAATAAATAAATAAATATATGCAGAATGGGGATTTCAAAGTAAAATATCTCAAAGCTTTTAATTGAGTAATACCTATATTTCAACTTTAAGAATTTACTGGTGTTTAAATTTCACACTCCCGTATCATTACAGCTATTATTTGCTTTCATATAAAGCCAGTCTTAATTACTTTCTGTCACTCTAACTGAACACTCAAACTGAGAGAGAGGAGAGAAGATACTTCAGAGCCATTGCTGAAATCACAAATCATCCTTTTTTTGTATGATTTCCCCTCAGACATACAGACGAAACAGACCTGATAGGGGCTCCATCAGGGACCCTGGGCAGACTGATGGTCACTTTACCACCCTCCTCATCGTGTTGGTATCAAACAGGTTTCATCTTCAGCAGGTCTGGAGCTGTTCGAATGGAAACCTGCTGCTGGAGGCCGCCAGCACTGTTCCCCCGGCTCATCAGCACAAAAGAATAATCAGTATCTGGTTGCAGTTGTGTGATTAGCTTCCTCTTCAGGTTGCCTTGAACCTCCACACTCTGCTGGTTGTACAGGATCTGAAGCCAAGATGAAGTTTCTTACTAACACAGATACAGTTTAATTGCATAGATAATCACTGATTGTCTATGATGAGAATTGTAACTGATTCTTAAAGTATATATATATATATATTTTTTGGGCTTTTTATGCCTTTATTTGATAGTGCAGTAGAGAGAGACAGGAAATGGGGAGGCAGAGAGAGGGGGAATGACATGCAGCAAAGGCTGTCCGATGCGGGACTCGAATCGGGGCCAACTGCAGCGAGGACTGTAGCCTCTACACATGGGGTGTCTGCTTAGACCACTACGCCACACAACGCCCCTGTAACTGATTCTTAGACTTATTTTCTTTTTTTTCTCTGGACGGAGTGATAAAATTATATTACAATGAATTATTTTTACCTTAGCAACATGTATTATAAAAGCTGAATATCATCAGTGTAATTGATGATTTTTCCCTCTTTGCATTGTACCCTCTGATCTTACAGGGATATTCAACAATGTGGGAAATACTAAACCCAGCAACCTCACTGTGACAGTAAGACTTCTGGGAGTTGCTCACAGTCACTGCTCAGGATGTTGTTTGCCAAGAAAATGTTCCAGTACCAAATTCGCTATAAAACTAGACTTACTAGGCGTTGTTTGCCTTCGCCAACCAGCCAAGTTGCAGTTAATATGGTCTCAATCTCTCTTTCCTGAGAAATGTTTTTGCAGAACATTATGATGTAACAGTGAAATTGACCTTTGACCATTTGAATATAAAATGACATCACTTCCTAGAAATTACGGTTATATTCAACTAAACTGCAACAACAAATACATTTCTTGGAAACATAACTGCAACTGAATTACATTTACTTAATGTTTCACCATAATATGTGATCTTGCAGTACAATCTCCACCTGTAGTGACTCCAGCATCATTAAACAGATTTATGGTTCTGTTTAGACTGTTACAGCACTGGTCTGGGTTAATACAGAAAAAGTTCACAGTTACTTTAGAAACAATCTGTTTATCTACATTTAACCAAAACCATCATCTTTTCCCTGACCTTAACCAAAGTGCTGTTGCTGTTGCAACCCTGGTCACTGTGACTGTCAAGCACTTTACATGTTCACCATCCACCCAAAACATTTGCTGTTGCAGTTTAGCTGTATATAAATTCTGGCAGACAGGGTTGCCCAAAAAGCTTTCAGTTTTGGTTAGTATATTTGTTCACACAGCCAGGATACCTGTTTCATCCTGCTTCCAGTCTTTAGCTAACCTAAACCCATACCAAATGCACATGACACAAGACACAATATTTTTTCGAAAAATATTGAAGAATTCCTTCAATGTTTGTGAGTAGGTTTGCTTTAGCTGTACAACAGCCGTCATATTAGGCCAGTGCTATCGTTACCTTTACTGAATATGATATCATTGTTATTTGTAGCTTCAATTCACTTTTCTACTTGCACCAAACTTTGTGACCTTGACAGTACTCTCTGCTTTTGATGGCAGATATGCATTACAAGGTGCTAAATAAATAAAATTTGATTAGTTGCTTACTATTATTTAGTAATATTATATATACAGAGCTACATAGTACCACATGCTGAATGACAAGACAGACAGGTCCCTTATAAATGGCCAGTCATAAAGTACAGTTAGAGGCAAAATTTAATATGGGGGGAATTGATTTTCTTTTTGCTTTATGGAGCAGCTCTTCTTGTAAGGATGCCAATGCTGTAAAAAGTTTCATAAAGTTAGTATTTTGTTTGGTTATTGTAGTTGAAATGTAAAAAAGTATTTTTTCTTATTATAGTATTTTGATTATATTGTGTAAAAGGTGCCACTTCCTGCCTGCACATACAGTCTCTACTATACAGAAGGGTCAGTCACAATTGATTTCATACCCAACAGTAAATTACAACTCATGAATGATTAAATGAGCACTGACTACTAAGTTCTAACTTATCAGTTAATAACCTCTCTCAGTTAAACTGAGTGTCTAATGTCTGTGTGAGTGATGCAGCTGATGTCTGGGTTGAACTGTGGGCTTATCTTACCTTAAGAGGCACTTGAGATTTGTAGGTTTCTGGCACTTCCCAGGTCAGCAGGACTGAGGTTTTCATCACAGCCTTCACACCAAAGTTCTTGGTGAACACTGGGGGAAGGTCTGGATGATTATTAAGTGGTTAATTTGATTGTGGATGTAATTGAGATGTTTCAAAGTTGATGAATTGGTGCACAAAAGCAAGAAAATTATGGTTTATGTCAACAAAAATAAGATTTTTTACACTCAACACTAATATTATTCAGAATGTCTTATTAATCAAAGTAACAGAAATAATCTGGTATGTGGAGGGACGGGGTTTCTAAAGCTATCTGATGATCTGATGCAGCTTGGACAGAGTATAAACCCTGCTTGACTTCTCTGCCTCTCTGACAAAGCTGCTTCCCTAAACCACTCTCCTGCAGTGGATGAGAAAGTCCAGTTTTTGATGTATCGTTTGTGTGTTCCATGAGTTTCCCACAACAACTTGTAGAATGTTGTATCTTTTCTGTGGAGCTGATATACCTATAGTCATCAGGAACAAGTGCAGCAGCAGGAATGATGTGTGCTCAATGATAGTCTCTGATTTGAGAGATGGGCTTTGGGTAATTTTACTCCCAGATGGCACAGTAGCAGAAACTTCAGTGATTATTTAAATTTTCAGACATGATAACAGGCCCAGTCAGAATTTAACAGTAATTAGTGTTCTGTGTTTTTCTAAATATCACTAGAAAGCTATTTTTCACAGATTAAGAGAAGCTGAACAGTAATATCACATGGTATCATATTAACTTTGTTTCATCTGGAGATCAAAATATTTTATTTGTCATATCAATAGGATAATTACAGTAGGTTTTCCATTTTTTTCCACTTGCAGTCATATTTATAAATATTTGCAGCTATTGCTCCAGGGCAGTGAAAAGCTAAGTGAAAATATTTTAAAGCAACTTTTTAAAAAAAAAAAAAATCTTTGCAGCAGACTTCTTTCAGTTTTCGAACCTATGACCTCCCGGGGTCTGTTTCCCATACAATGACGCAAGTTAGCACTGAACTAACATGGTACAATACATAATTAAACTAAGTTCTTACCATCGAACTACAATGTGTCCAGATGTGTTCGGTCTGATTTTCACAGCAGAAAGGCATTTCTTTTGTTTTCTTTTCCTTTATTTGTGATTCCAAGTGTAATAGTGAAAAAGATTGAACCAAACATATAGAGGTTACAACAAACATGTGAGAAAACAACAAAGAAAAATAATAAGAAAAAAACTAAATAAGAAAAAATAAAATAAAACACTTGTGTGTGGGTGTGTGAATGTGTATGTGTGTTTGTGTGTGTGTGTGTGTGAGACAGAATAGATAGAATGGTTTTGCATGTATGATGAGAACACATAAACACTCACCATCAGCTTGTATACGCTCATCATTATAACATAAAGAAGAAAGAAAAAAGGGAAAAAGAAGGAGCTTGTGTATGTGGTGTGTGTGTGTATGTCTGTTGATTGGATTGTGGATGAGGATTGGGTTGGGTTTTTTAAATGTTTTTTTGTTTTGTATTTTTTTCTTCCTCCTTTTTCAGGAGGGGTATTGCTCAACCTGGTTGGTTGATTGTGGTGGGGGGTGGTGTCATGTCCATGAAGAGACGTTAAGTTATGTTTAGTTTTGTGTGTCTCGTGACTTTTCGTTTTATTTTGAAAACCTAACTCTCCTCTCGTTTCAGGTAACTTCCTCCTTCCCTTGTGTGTTTCCCACTGGTCTGATTGTCTGCCCCGCCCTGATTGTTTCCACCTGTTTCCCATTACCTTGTGTGTGTATATAGTCTGCGTTTCCCTTTGTCCTGTGCCAGTTCGTCTTGTCGCCGGAGAACCACGCCACCCATGTTATCCCATGCCAGGTTTTGAATTTGATGTTACGTTTTGCCATAGTCTTGCTGTACATTATTTTGATACTTTGTCTTTACCTGTATCCTGAATTTTTTGTTGGTTTTCCTCGAAAGAGTGATTTTTATTTGGGTACTTTGAATATATATTCCTCTGTTAGAGTGATTTTCCTTTGCTACTTTGTTATTAAAATATTGTTGATTGGTACTTTATCTTGGAGTCGTGCATTTGGGTTCAAGTCTTAGTTCAGTTGTGACAGGTGGGAGTTTTGGTGGGTAACCCTGAGATCCAGGGGAAGAGGGTCATCCTAACAACACCCCTGCTGTTATTTATGATGGGACCCACGCAACACCAGCCCCCAATCCCCATGTAGTACCTATCCCCGAGTACCTCTAGGGCAGCCCCTGTGAACACATGAGAACAGGGCCAGCACCACCGCTGATCCACAAAGTTAGAAACAGAGGATTGTTGGATGAGAGATTGAGAATTGAATACTTTTGTGTTGATTGACTGTGTGTGTGTGCGTGTGTGAGTGTAACGGCTATATAAAAGCTACTAATAGAGATGGAGAAAAGAGAAAAGTAGTTATGCCTAAAAATGACAGTTGTGATGATATTGTCATGGGTTGCCATGATGGACAATTCATGTTTTCAGCTTTTGTGTTATGTGTATTAGTTTGGTCAGTTAGTCTGCTCATGTCCCCTGTGTTACCAGTCCAAGTTCCTTGTGTTACCTTGTGCTTCTGGTTTCTGTTTGAAGTCCCCTGTGTTTCCTTGTGCTTCAGCTTCCTGTTTAACTCCCCAGTGTTACTTTGTGCTTTAGCTTGCTGTTCTTGTTCCTTGTGTTACCTCGTGCTTTTGGTTCCTGTTCATGTCCCCTGTGTTTATCTGTTGAAGTTCCCTGTGTTTCCCCATGCTTCTGCTTCCTGTTTGGTTAGTTCACCAGTTTTTGTAGGTTCTTCTGTTTATTAAACATTTTTCACTGTCTCCCTTGTCTTGGCTGCATTTAGGTCCAACCTTACTTAATATCGTGACAGTACGAACCGACCAAAAAATGGACCCAGCAGCCTACGCCAGCTTCGTAGCCAGCTTTTTTGAGGTTGCCTTACAGCAAGCCTAAATCTTCCCAGCCAGCACTCCCATCGGTTGTCAGACCCCCCCACCTTGGCTGACCCACGTCAGATTTGAATCTGGAGGACCCTGAGCCGTCTCCTTTTTGGGGAACCCGGCTAGCCTTTCCTGGGAGGTATCTAGGGGTCAGAGCCCCTGGCAAGAAATGCAGGTCATGGAGATGCTGGTTCCCAAAGCAGCCTCAGCTGCAGGACCAGCCCTGGGTCTCCAGGTTCCAGCCCAAGCCACAGTCCCAGGTTGCCATGATGGACAATTTATGTTTTCAACTTTTGTGTTATGTGTATTAGTTTGGTCAGTTTGTCTGTTTATGTCCCCTGTGTTGCCGATTCAAATTCCTTGTGTTACCTTGTGCTTCTGGTTCCTGTTTGAAGTCCCCTGTGTTACCTGTTGAAGTTCCCTGTGTTTACTCTTGCTTCTGCTTCCTGTTCGGTTTGTTCACCAGTTTTTGTATGTTCTTCTGTTTATTAAACATTTTTCACTGCCTCCTTTGTGTTGGCTGCATTTGGGTCCAGCCTTACTTTATATCGTTACAGATATTACATGTCTGTAAATACTGTATGTCATTTTTAACACTATTCATACCATATTCACTAATGAATTCCTGGCCTACCTGATTATCAAAGTACCTGAGTGGCTCAGTGGACTAGACAGGTGCACATGATCAATTACTCTTGATCACACAGGCACATGTTCAATACCCAGCAGTGGTGCATTTTTTTTCATCTTTTTCATAATGTCAAGGAAAGCTCTCAATGAGTAAAAATTGATACATAAAAGTGCCTTAAAGATTTCTATGTTGTCTGAGAATAATAATAATACTACTAATAATACTAATAATAATAAACTTTATAATTGTACTAATAATAAATGTCATTTATATAGCACTTTTCAAAACACCAGTTTCAAAGTGCTTCACAATTAAAAAATAAAAATGAGAACACAATCTTCTTCAAAGGCCTAGAAATACAAACATATACACATACAGGAAATATTAAAAGCTGTCCTTTCTCATGAGATGCAGAAGATGACCATCTGCAGGCCTAGAAGTTATAATGTGAACAGGGAATTACATCTAAAGTACCCTTATAACTACATTTTACATCATATATGTTTGTACAGCAAGATTAGTGAATTTTCAGTTCACTTACATGGTGGCTACCTTCCTGCGACTGTATCTTTCGTTATTTATGATTGTTACCCGCCCCCCCTTGTGTTTTTATCCCCTCTCTCCTCAGGTGCTCCTCATCCCCACTGAGTGTGGCCCTGCCCACTGCAGCCTATTTAAGGGAGTTTGGAGCAGAGTGATCTCTCTCTAGCACATCAAGCAGCTCTTTGATTTCCTGGTTTCTTTTGAGGTTTGAGGTTGGAGGTTTGGTAGTCACGTTTTTGGTTTTTGCTTGTAAGTCTAGTGGTTATTTTATGTTGGGTTAGTTTAAGGGGGGAATGTTCTGGGTACTACAGTCCATTGCGTGGCTGGCCCAGACTTCCCCCATTCTTTTGTTCCTTTTGGCCAACCTCCAAAGTCTTTGTGGTTTTGGTTAATATTTGTTTTTCTGTTGAAAAATAAACAACACTTTTGTTCATTGAATGTTGCATTCATGTTGCTGCACACAGGTTCAAGCAATATGTCTTGGTGTGGCCGTAACATTTGGGGGCTCGTCAAACATTGTTTTGGTGATGTAGTTTTACTACTTTTGAGCGGTGTGTTTTGGGCTATTGTTAATCGAGTTTGTGGTGGTGTGCTGCCTGTTACGGGTGGTATATTAGGTGGTGTGTCCTCTTATGCTGACTGTGTGTGACTTTGTTTCCCGTAGCACTTTGTTTGCGCAGTGGCTTTGTTTGTTCTCGGTTAATCTGTGCTTGTTGCTTGGAATTTGTAGCACTTCGGTTGTGCAGTAGGCCCTGTTGTTTTTGTTTACAATAACACTAGTTACACAAGGAATTGTTGGCGGGCATTTGGATGTATAGTGAAATGCTTGCATGTTATATTGGGCAACATTGTAACACTTTGGTTGCTGCATTTTTTGTGGGTGCTGTTCCAAGTTGTAGTTAGGTAAGTTTTGCTGTTTTAGTGTTGGGAGTTGCTCTGTTAATGTCGGATTCTGTGTTGCTGTTTTTCTGGTGCGCTATGATGGATTTTGACCTGGAAGGCTTTTTATCTCGTCTAACTTGTGATAAGTTGGAGGCATGCACTAAGGACAATCTTAAGGTCATTGCAGAGAGGTTTGTCATTCCCATTAGTAAACAAGACAAGAAACAGGTGAATCATCCTATCAGGTGAAGCTGAAAGAGCTTGAGTTGGAGTTGCATAAGTGAGATCTGAGGGAGAAGGAAATTGATTGCAATATTGAGTTGAGGAAGACTGAGGAAGGTTAATGTGTTGCATTTGACAGAATTGGAACTTGGTGCAATGTCTCCTCAGGCTCTGCAGCCTTCACGTGAGCAATGGTTTTGATGTGAGTAGAAGTATTCAACTCATTCCAGTCTTCCGGAATGAGATATTTATCCACATATTAGGCGTGTCGCTCAGGAGGTTTACGCAGTGTTGTCCCCAGAGAGTAGTTCAGATTATGGGAAGGTTAAAGCTGGTATTTTGAACAATATGAGCTGGTGCCGAAGGCTTATGGCCAGAAGTTTCGTAAGTCCAAAAAATTTGAGTCTCATACATATTTTAATTTTAAGAGACGTGTTGCCAGTGGTTGCAAAGTCTGCTGCAGATTCCGGGGTCTTAGTGCGTGGTTTTGGTACGCGATACTTAGGTGCACCTTTGCATACGATTTGAGTTAGATTTGGTCACAGGTCAAGTGGTTGTGGGTGTTCGCCCATGTTTCTCAATTAGAGGAGTGGACTTTATTTTGGGGAATGGTTTGGCTGGGGGTAAGTTGTTTGTGAAGCCTGAGGCTATGGCTGTCCCTGTGGTATCCGAGTGTTCCAAAAAGCTGGCCCACACATATCCTGAGGTCTTTTCTGCCTGTGCTGTCACCCATGCCACATCGAAACGTCAAGCTGTGAGTGAGGATGTTGACTTGTCTGACAGTTTTCTTGCCACTGGGGAGTTAGACTTGTTTACCATTAAAGCTCCATCTGATAACCTGGTATACATTAGCAGCCCTACTCATTCAAAGATTGCAAGCATATTTGGGCCAATGTAATTTAATATTTGTAAGTGTTTGTGTATATGTTGTATAGTTTTATTTTGGAACTTCAGGGAATGGAGATGAACTTGTTTTTCTTTTTCTCTCAGAGACCTCAGCTTCAATCCTTCATTTTACCTGCTACTGCTTTTAAAGGAAATGAAAGAAGCACATGGGATTGTGTACCTGCTGACTTATGTCGTCCTCCCACTAATGAATTCATGTTGCACAGAACTGTGCCAGGTTTATGCCAAAACCTGTGATCATTTGTCACATGTAGTCAGGATAATAAATCATGTTGAAATCATGGAGTAATGTACAGAGAGCTAAGGTCACAGATGAAGCTACAAACAGCCTGTGGTTCTCACCTGGCATAGAGGTGGACATGGTCCTGATCTGGATGCTGGGGCTGATGGGACCCCCCCCCTTACTGGTGAAGGCTTGGACTCTGATGTCGTAGGTTATGTCAGGCTGTAAACCTTGGATGGTCATCTGTGTTCCTGTGGTATGGTTTGTGTTGTTGTGCTGGCTATTGATATCCCGATACACCACCATGTACTTCACAATCTTTCCATTCCTCTCAGCCAGAAGAGGGGGGTCCCAGGCCAGCTGGGTGGAGGTGGCAGTCAGGCCTACCACACTCAGATTCTGGGGGTAGCTGCTGGGAATATCTTCAGGGATGCTGATCTCCTTCATATATTCCTCCCCATTGCCTGCTCGGTTTTTGGCACACAGTTTGAAGATGTAGGTCCCTCCTCTGTGGAGGCCTGTAACTGTGAAATGATCATCTATCTTTCTGAAGTCTTTGATAGTGAAAGCTTCCTCCTCTGCTCTCTTGTATTGCAGCTGGTACCCAACATGCTCCCCCACCATCTCCTTAGGTGGCTGCCACTGGATAAGGGCAGTGTTCCCTATGGTGGTGCTGATCATCATAGTGGGCTTACCAGGCACTGGAAGACAGGAAATACTTTCACAGTCACATGTCTAAATAACTTGTTCAATACCAAATTCATGAAAAAATAACAGCATTTTTTCTTTCCAATTATAGTTCTTTCTCAGTTGGGTGGAGAAAATGGGAATAGTTTTTACAGGATCTCATAATTACAAGGTCATAATCCTGGCTACCTGCATTGTATCGTCAAAGCAATTGTTGTAATTGTAATATCATTAAAAATAGGTCAGGTAATGCATGAGCAGCCACTTTCTAAAGTTAAAACTGAAAGTGAATATATCCATAATGTCATAAAAATCCCTTATCGCACAAGAAAATTGTTTGTGAACAATTGGGGAAAGTATGGTAAGTCAATGTTAAACTTGCACTTTGGTCTGTACCCTGTAGTGTATGTTTAGAACAGACACTTTGAACTATAAGTTTAACATTCCCATTTCTTTCCTCCTCAAAATAGTTTGTAAAAAAAGTAAGTCTGCCACTCAGACTAGTTTCAGATTACATCCCTTTTTAATTAGAAACATATAAAATATTAACCATTTGTGTGAAATTTTGTCATAATTGCTGTGTGTAGTCATGAGTGTTTAGGTCACTGTGACATCATGGTGTTTCTGAGATATCGTGTCCACAAGGATGGGACGGACAGACAACCTTAAAACAATATGCCTCTGCTTCTGACTGTTGTTGGAGCTGAGAAATAAAAGTTTTGAGCAAAACTCCTCAGAGTCAGACCAGTCCACCTCCTCAGCTGGGTGGGCGGAGGGGTCAGAGTGGAGGGAACCCTCATTGTCAGACGGCCCTTCCGCCAGGAGGTTCACGTCAGTGGGAACACCCCTCGGTGGTGTGGCGGTGCTGGAGGGCTGGTCAGGGTGATCGCAGTGGAGAACCACACCTTCTGGCCGACTTGGCAGGCAGGAGCAGGAGAGTGTAGCTGGTTGGCCAAGGCAGTGTAGCGACTCAGAGAACACGCAGTGCGTGTCAGGTCCCAGGTTCAACGACAGCAGGGGATGAAGGCTTGGACGGACGGGCAGGAACCTTCCCTCTCCAAGGCTCGGAAGAGCGTGGGCTGGTAGCCGTAGGCACATAGGAAGGGCAATAGGCCTGTGGCGGAGCTGGTCAAGGAGTTTTGGGCGTACTTCACCGTAAGGAACTGCTGCAACCAGGAGGACAGATTCTGGAAGAACTTGCAGTGAAGGGCCGTCTCCATCTCTTGGTTTTTCTGCTACGTCTGCCCATTGGACTGGGGATGGAACCTGGAGGAGAGACTGGCAGTGGCTCCCATCATGCTGCAGAACTCCCTCCAAAAGACAGAGGAGAACTGGGGCCCCCGGTCAGACACCACATCAACAGGAAGACCATGCAGTTGGGAGACGTGGAACAGGACCAGCTAGGCAGTCTCTTTGGCTGATAGCAACTTGGGCAGGGGCACGAAGTGGGCCATCCAAGGAGATGTGGTACCATGTACGATGTTGGAGGCTGAAGGAGTCCCACTGGGGCCTGATGGGAGGCTTTATGCTGGTTGCAGGTAGAGCAGACCTTGACAAAGTTGTGAGTGTCCTCCTTCAGGGCGGGTCACCAGAAGCGTTGGAGGAAGATGTCTTGAAACCTGGATGGCAGGAGAGTTTGGAGGTGTGGGCCCATTGCAGCACCTCCGACAGCTTGCGGGACGTACAGACGGTTTGGTGGGCAGGCGCTGGGACCAGGTTGATCCTCGGTGGTGACCCTCACTCTCTCCTCTATGTCCCAGGTCAGGGTGGCGATGACACAGGGAGAAGGAAGGATGCAGAATCCTCTCCCTTCTGGAACTGGGCGTCAGGCTTGGCATTGCAGGACCCCGGATGGTAGGAGAGGGTGAGGTGGAACCGGGTGAAGAATAGAGACCGGCCTGGCAGGAGTTCAGTCTCTTGGCTGTTTGGATGTAATCCAGGTTCTTGTGGTTCTTTTGTTATGGTTTTGGAATACACTGACAAACAATGTTGTCCTGCTATTAGGGATGTCAGATGTCACAAAATTTTTGAGCTGGACTTTCAATTCTCTTGAAGCAAGAAAGGTGGCTGCAGTGTCCTTTTTTGCTTATGAATTTACCACAGTCATTTTAAGAGTCAAAATGTGTTATTCTTTCAGAGCTAACCACAAAGTTGGTGTTGGCAAAAAATCTACATGCAACACATACCTGCCCCTGTGGTGGTGACCATCTTGGCCTTGCTGCGAGCTCCATCACCTTTGGTAGTATATGCAGCCACAGTCAAAGAGTAGGTAGTCTCTGGGAGCAGACCTGTTATAATGGCCTCCTTCAGGGTGAGACCGAGAAGAAGAAAGAGGGAAGGAGAGAGAAAACAATAGACGGAGACACAGGGAGAAATGGAGACAGAGGTGAAGGAAAAAGGAGAAGATAGTGAAAAAAGGGCAACAACATTCAGGTTAAGACCATAGAATGTATATAAAAATAGAGACATCCACTCCAGGTCTGGAAAATGAAGCTAATGCGGAAGTTGCTTAAACCTGCATTCTATCTAATGACCATCAGGGGGTGCCTCCACCGGTTGCAAAAAGAAGTCAGATTGTATATTGTATTGTAGTGCACCTCCACCTATTTTGAGGCCAGGTTCCAGATAGAAGTGCATATTGTGGTAAGAAATGAAACAATAACCAGACGTCATATACCTTATCCGCTGTCCTTGTGGCCTGACTTATGAGTAAAACTTCCCGAGCGTTACACACTAGGATCAGGGTTGTGAAGCCTGTCAGGGGAGTCAATCATGAAAAAAGGCTTTCGCAGCATGAGACATTTTGGATTTATTTCCTCAATACCATGTCCCCTAATGGTTTAAATGAGGAATTTGATATTAAACCTTTTTTTTATAACATTCTCTATTCTGCGCACTAATAACCACTTGTTTCCCAGCGCCCTGAAACTTTTTGTATCTCTATAATACTTTTTGTATTTCTATGTTATATGTGCTTATGGCATTTTTAACTTTTTGTCATACCTAAACTTTATGTCATTGTTATTTCAGTCAATGTGATCATTACATGATAGAAGTTTTTCAAGTAATTATCTCCTCAATACCATCTCCCCTAATGTTTTCAATAAAGTATTTGATATTCAATGTCTTTTTTTGTATAATATCCTTTATTCTGTTTCCTTAAGCCCTAACAATTAATTGCTTCCCAGTGCCCTAACATTTATAATTTTATTCACAATTACATTGCATTGTTATTGGAGTCTGACCGCAATCAGGACTGTTGTGGGGAGACGCATGCAATGAAAGATGGAGGCCATCTTGGACAATACCAACCATCCTCTCCACAACATTCTGGCAGGACAGAGAAGCAGCTATAGATGCAGCAAACGCCTCATCTCACTGCGCTGCAGAACAGAGAGGTTCAGGAGATCCTTTGTTCCCACTGCCATCAGGCGATACAACATCTCAGCCAAAGGAAGTTCAGTGACAGTCCACAACTCCATTAATCCTCAGTTATCTTTGCTTCAACTTGTTCTGTGTCTGGCGCAGCCTCTGCCATGCAGTTTGCTCTGTGAGTGTGTGTTTGTGTGTGTGTGCACTGTATACCTGCAGCCTCTCCCGGAGAGCAGACAGAGGACAGAGAAGCAGTGAAAAGAGTGAAAATTGGAAATTTGGTTTTTGGACCTCTCTGACTTGTATAGAAAAACTCTGTGTTGAATTTCAGCAAGAAATTATAGAGAAGCAAGTTGCAAGGTTTTACAGCACTAATTGATCTGATACCACAATGATTCAGAGGCACAGGCATATTCTGCTCCACAACTTTGTATACTAACCACAAATAAAAGAAAAGGGCTTGCTCCCTCAGCTTCTTAGAGGAAGTAAAGAAAAGCCATTATCATAAACAGTGTAAGGTGTTAACAGGGAGGTGAAAAGCAGATCCATTCCCTGGCCAAAGTATATGCTCTAAATCAAGAAATATCTTTTATATAAATCATTAGGGAGACAAAAAGTGACCTCAGTGTTGAGTAACCATCATTCTTTCATATAGTAACTAGTGCATTATTGTGCTCTATGCATTCATGTCAGTGTATTTGTACATTCCTCTAAACCAATAATGACTGGCCACACCGCTTGCCTATCATAGTTCCTTATTCGTTTATTATTATATTACTATTCGAAGGAGACTGCTCTGTCCTCACAAAGGGTTATCTTCATGGATCTATTCTCAGCTATACAGAAAGCTAAACACTTTCCCTATTAAGGTCCAAGGAACAAGCAGTTGTTGTGTTTGGCTGTTTAATTAGAATTTTGTGTGAAACTATAATCCAAATTCAAGAATATACTATTGTAAATACAAAACAAAACCATATTCTTATACAATAATATAACATAAAATCTACTCTCTGATTCTACTATACTAAGCAGGAAACAACAATGCACATAAATCAATACTAATAATCAAACGTTACTTACAGATGATGCCATGTCTAACTGTGAAGGAGAGCATTGTGTTAGAGTACAGCCAGCACCAACATGTGGCTCTACCAGATACTAAAAGAAAGTGAAACTAATTTTAATCACTAGGGTCAACAAATGAACTACCCAGAACAACCACTAGGGGGTGGCAAAGCAAACCAGACCTGGTTCCATCACACTCCCCACCTGGCATATTTAAGATGTCAAACTTAAGAGTTCACCTAAACATGTCACACCTTCTACCAAGTCACTTGGCTTAGTCCTTAGAAACAGTTTTGGTAAGCTGTCCTTGATAATTTTCCCCTTGACCTTTCTGACTATTCCATCATCATCAGGAAAGGGTCTTATGATCAGTCCTGTGGGCCAGTCATGTCTCTTGACTTGGTTGTCTTTCAGAAGGCCAAATTCAGCAGATTTAGTCTCTCTGTTCTCCATTTCCATTGACCCTGAAGGCTGCTGTGGTACTCTTTTCCACCTTTCCCAGAATGTGTTGGCTAAACTTTGAACTTGACACCACTGTCGTGTGAAGAGGTCACTATCATCAAAGTTGCCACCAGTTCCTTCTGGCAACTTATTGTGTTAGGAGCATAGCTTTCTCTGTTAGGAGCATAGGAGAGGTGATGATTAGAGGCTCCTCTGGATCAGTAAATACTGAAGTCAGCAGTCTGTAGTTGACTATAGCAGTGGCCACCTCAGCCATAAAGGTTGTCAGTTTCACAGGGCCAAGATTGAGGAACATTGTGTTCAGGATCTGATGTGTGACTCCAGATGCATCTGGGAGAGGATGTGTGAAGAGTGAGGTGGGTTGAACAACCAAATGCATTCCTGATTGGAAAAGTAGATAGGATAGATAGGTAGGATCACTTCCTTTTTTTTGATAACCTGTGGAGATGATTTGGAGTTCTTGACAGGCTCCTATAAAATTAGTTCCACAATCCGACCCCAGTTGTTTAACAGGTCCTCTAATTGCGAAGAAGCATCTCAAAGCATTGATGAAACTGGAAAAATCCATCCATTCAATAACCTCAATGTGTATGGCATGCATGCTCATGCATGTGAATATGATCGCCCAATGCTTGCTGTTGGCCAGGTGTCCACACGTCCGTCTTGAGACAACACACCATAGTCCAAACACATTTAATCCTACAAAGGTGAATGGAGGATCTTTGGTCAGGCGATCACTAGGTAGGTCAGCCAACCTCTGGATGATGATGTCAGGCTAGGGAGTCAACTTTGTCTTGCCAAACAGGAATCCAACTTCACTAAGTCCAGCGGTGTCCGTGACCCTCAGATAGCCAACAGCAGCAATAGCTTTTGTTGATGCATCGCAAAAGATGCAGACCTCTTTTCTCTGAGCTGCAGAGAGAGGGATTGAAGTGTAGACTCTTGGTATCTTCAACTCCTTAAGATCTTGAAGAGAGGTGCCCCACCTCTGCCACTGCTCGAACTTATCCTGAGGGAGTGGTGCATCCCATTCACAAGTGTCAGTTGTCAATTCTCTCAAAATGGAGCGACCTCTGAGACTGACAGCAGCAGTGAACCATAGTGGCTCAAATAGGGTGTTGATAGTAGATAGCACACCGCATAGTGTAAAAGACTTTTCAGTGGCAGGAACTTGGATGGTCAGTGTATCTGTATCAGTATCAGGTTCCATCTGAGGCCTGGGCTGTGCTGCATAGTAGGAGCATGCTGACCCATATCCAGATCTTGTAGGTTGGTAGCCAGGTCTTCAACCGGGAAAGCTCTCATAACTTTAATGCTGTTAGATGCAATCTTATACAATCTGAGATTGGATTGAGCCAGCTTCCTCTGCACTGGGGAACAATTTCAGCCCATCATCAACATAGAAATGTTGCTCTTCAAAGCTTCTCGCTTTAGGCCCAAATTCCTCTTCACCCTCCATTGCAGTCCTCTTCATCCGGTAAATGGCCACAGCAGTGAGGAGGAGTTACTGAACACATGAGCTCTCATGCAATACTTGCTTCTTAGTATGGGCCTCTCACTGGAGCTGACAGAAAGGCTATGGTTATTTAGATAGTCAAGCTTTTCTTTTTTATGCCCTTGTGGCATGTACTCTCACCAGCTGGCTTTTGGGTTGCCCCAGATATTATTTACAAGTGTGTGAGCAGAGAGGTATCTCAAAATGCACAATACATCAAACCTTGAGGTGGATGAACTACAACAACAGAAGACCATGTCAGGTGCCACTTCCTGTCACCAAGAACAAAAACACAAGGCTATAGTGGACACAGGCTCACCAACACTGAACAGTTGAAGCCTTGAAAAACGTAGCCTGGTCTGATGGATCTGGACAGATGGTAGGGTCAGAATTTTTTATTTTTTTTTAAAGATAGTGTTTTGGGAAGTTTTGCCTTTATTACAATAGCTGTAGTGAGAGAGAGAGAGAACGAGAGAGAGAGAGAGAGAGAGAGAACGAGAGAGAGAGAAAGAGAGAGAGATAGGAAAGTCAGACTGGAGCCAATCCCAGCTGACATTGGGTAACTTTATGTGATCACAAAGACAGACAATGAAGACATTGTCTCATGCTTCTGCCAGTGCTGTGCTATGGGCTGTTTGTTTTTCAGCAAACAGAGATGACCCACAGAGGTTGCCATGTCTCTTCAGAACCAAAAATCTGCCTCAGGGAGATCTTAAAACCCATGGATTTGCTAGAAGAAAAGCAATAGGAGTCAAGTCTAAAGCAAGCAGTGGTGGCATTAAAAAGCCAAGAAAGAAAGCCAAGTGAAACAACTGATGGATTTTTACACACAGCTCAGCTCAGTATTCACAGCCCAGCAAAATACTGCTTTTTGGTCTTTTCTTTGGTGATACCTCACTGAAACTCAGGAACTTTTGAAGGTCATCAGTCAAGCTGAAGGCTGGTGTCCATTGCCCTGACAAAGACATATGGGCTGTAAACATGGCTCAACACAACAGGTTACAACTGAGATCAGAGCCTCCTTCTGAAATAACTCATCAGCACACAAGAGAGTCAAGTCATTCATCACAGAGAATGTTTAATGTCAATACAAAAAGCCACAAAGTTTAACCCAGAAACTTTCTGCTGTTTCTCCACAATGTTAAGGGGCAAATATGGTCTGTCAGAGAACTGCATGTCAGATGGTCAGCCTTGGAAACACAAAACAAATGTTTAAAGTTCTTATCATCAAGTTGTGTTAACATTTAAGTAAACCCTTTACATATGCATTATATGCATTAAGGGGTGGTGATCTGGCCAAAAAATCATATGATAATCGTTTTAGGTAGAATCGCAATTCACAATCTGAATCTGCATCCCATTTCTGCTCTGATTTTATTCTGAAAGTCCTGACTGGAAGCTGTGATTTGTATCTTTCAGATGTTATCGGGTCATCGCTATTCTTCACCCTCAATGCTGTCTTCTGTTTATAAATTGTGTCATAACCAATCAGACTTTTTTCTTAGTTCATATGGATTATTCGTTTGGACAGCGCTGTTATTTATTTATAAAATAGGTGCAGCTGATATATGTAAAGTATTTTAATTTTAAAGTTTAGTCTCTGCCCTGGCTCATCATAATCTAATAAGAAACAATCCACCTGGACTGAGAGTAAAAGAAAGAAAAAAGGCATAATAACTGATACAAAGTCCAACTTATCCACAGGTAGCCAGCTCAATTAGTGGATGAGATGCATCAGAGTGAGAGGGGTGTGTGTATATATGTGTGTGGTGCAGAGAACTTGGGATCACTTCAAAGACTGTGTGTCAACTCTCATCACCATCGCTTAGGCCAAAGGGAGAAACTTAACTTGGATGAGACTTAAAAACAGTTCCTTAAAGAAGGGCGTGCAATGGTGTGTGTGGGTGTGTGTCTGTGTGTCTGTGTGTGTGTTAAGATAGAGAAGTTGTAGATTGGTTGTGAGATATGGGGCCCTTATCAGGCCTCCAGCCTTGCACAGATAAGACAGGAAAGCTGCTTATAAGGGAAATCAGTTTAACTTCTCCTGGAGACACCAGCTGAGAGGAAAGGAGCTGAACACCACTTAAGTGAGTGATGTTAAGCAACCTTCGACTTTTGCTTCAGTATGCTCACTCTCACTTTTGCTAACTTGCAAATAGTTTTTTCTCCTTTAATCCTGTCTTTGTCTTGGGTCCAAAATTTAAATTTCCTTTCGTTCAAGCAGTCTTTGTTCTTGGATATCCTGTTGCTTTTATCTTTCTTTTGTATGCCACACTTCTTATGGCTGCTCATGTTAACTAGTCCCAGCCTGATTTTTACAAGAATCAAACATAACAAGCCTGACAATCATCACTTGGAAGACAGGTGTGAACTGAGATCTAGAAATAACAGAAAGGAGAAACCCCCAACTAATTCAAATCATGCCACTCAATCATCACGCTTAAATGGTTTTACAGAAACAGTTGTAATGGTGGTAGTATTCTGGTGGTAGTTCTCTGGTTATAATGGTTATATAGAGAACTGCTCCAAATCAATTTTACTCTTAACATTTTGAAGTGTTTGTGGAAGAGAAAGCTTTGTCTCAGTAGTTTGGGTGGAGGATGAAGTCAGATCACAAAATAAATAAGTAATTAAAATAAAATAAAGAAATTAAGTAAAAAACTGAAACTATATGGTCTATTTACTGACATTTATATCAATGTAACTAATATAACATTATGATGATGCTGTCTCTAATAATGGTATTAAGAAATAAATGATTGTATTAATAATGCACTAATAATTCAGTCAGTCAACAATAGGTTTCATTGAGACTTGATATTTTATAATGTTGCATTACCCTGTTAAGTATAAGAGGGCACTGTTCTTATTTTTCATTAGCCCTGATCACACAATCAGACACAGGTGTCTGAATGATAAAAAGTATCACTTCTTGTTACCTCTTGTAACAACTTATTACATTAATGTTCCGAATGCTTTATTCAGACATGACACGACAGTAATGAAGACACAATGCTTGCAAGATATTTGCCACCTAGTCTGTGTGTGAGAGAGAGAACAGCTGTGAGTTAAAAATGTTATGATGAAGAGGAGGAAGACTGTTTTCTTGTAATATATTGCCAGATTATTTTGCTGTTGAAGCTTTAATTAATGTCCATCCTGTGTGAAGATTGCTCATCCCTGCTTCTCATAGTGAATCCATCCATCCATCCATTAGCTATACCATTTATCCTTATAGGGTTGCGGGGAGCTGGAGCCAATTCCAGCTGACATTGGGCAAGGGCGGGATACACCCTGGACAGATCGTCAGTCTATCACAGGTTGACATATAGAGACAAACAATCACTCATACTCACACTTACACCTATGGGCACTTTAGAGTTGCCAATTAACCTCTGGAGTACCCAGAGAGAACCCATGCGGACACTGGGGAGAACATGCACACTCCACACAGAAAAGCCCTAAGCCCCAGGTTTGAACCTTCTTGCTGTGAGGTGACAGTGTTTACCACTTCGCCACTGTTCTGCCCCTACGGTGAGTCCACTGATACATTTTCACAACAGTTTCATCATGTAATGTGAATGTGAATTTTGTTAATTTTCATAACATGCACAAACACAGTGACAAAACTGTCATTTAATTCATATTTGCTCACATTCTGTATGCAAGGGGTTTTTGCTGAATATTATTTTATTCATCCACATAGCTGACATGAATGAAAATTGTTAATTTCGTATTGTGAACAGTGATGGGATATGTCCCGTCTGTGCAACTGCTTCTCTGTAAAGTGCAGTACTAAATTGATGAAGTTGATTGTGATTACTTTATGGCTTTCTGTATTTTGTCCCTGTTGTGCGGTTTTTCATCAATCAACCATAAAAACACTTATTTACCAGAAGTAACTGAAGTTGACATTTGTCAAGTAATAGCATTTCCCAGTTACTCATGGGAACCAAACTCTCCCTTCTTCAGCCCTTAGTTGGTCAGTGTTACATCAAGTTAAAGAAACAAAAATCACCTGCTTAACGTGTCACTGAACTCAAGTGAAACAGTGTGACAATACCTGGGCTTCAGGATGAGAAACATCCATGATGATCGGCTGGCCATGAGGGTCCCCATTCTCTAACCTGGAGTAGACCAGCTGGTAGCCTCTGATCTGGCCATGCTGCTTCACAGACAAGGGAGACTTCCAGGTCACCCTGAGGGCAGTGGAGTTGAGGGCATCCACCTCCACCTTCCTGGGAGGAGCTCCAGGCACTGCAGCACAACACAGCACACAAATTCCACTTAAAGTCTTTAGGGAACGATGAAGGTTTCTTTTTTGTATATTGTTTACAATTTGGTTATAACACAAATCTGCTCACACTACCACAGTAAGCTGCCTGAATTTCATATTTGTAGATACCGCTGAACACAGTTTTTACAAAGGATTTCCTAATGAAATGTTTTGTACTAAATTCCATGAGTCCTTAAGCAGTATCTCTCTGACAGTTGAATTGCTCTGCATTATCAGAAAAATGACTTCTCAGCTTTATTTTGACAGTTTCTTTTAAATTTTTGTCTAGTCTCCAAGAGCATTTTCTATAAAAACCATACAAGTTTCAGTGTCAGGAAGTTTTGGACAGGATTTGAAGGATCTGTCTTCATCTCCAGCATGAACAAAAACAGAGATGTGGTTTGAAATGTCACAATGTGAGTCTTTCTCATCCTGCTCACTGATGCATTCTGTCAGTGTGGATATGTTCACTGACACAACTTCCTTCTATTCATTTCTTTGTGACTTCATGCTGCCAGCGCTGTGTCTTTGAGTGGGATCTGGTTTTGCCCAGTCAATACTGTTCAAGTACAAAAATGACATGATTAACCCTGTTTCTGGATATGGGCTCTGGAAATTCCTACTACATGGTGATGGTTGGTAGTTGTCTTAATTCCTCCCAGGTAATTGTGGCCTTACAGCCCAGACTCATGATACCTTTTTCAGGTAGAATATTATATATTTGTTCAGATCAGTATTTCTTTTTGTATATCGTTAGCTAAGTTTGTTGTTAGCCAGCTAGCAGTTTCATTACCCTTTTTATCTGGCTGGGATAGAGAGCATCCCTTATAAACAGTATGTTGAGGCAGGGAATGGGTATTGGCGTAGCATAAGTTCCGTGTGTGTTCTATTTTTGGTGGTTTTTCATTGTTTTTGTTGTCTGGGGCAAATTATTGTTACTGTTTGTATAATGTGTCCTGCGCTCCTACATGTCATGGGGAGGTACGCAGGGGGGGGCTGGAGAGTTTGCGGTCTAGGTCATGCATGCAAAGAGCTATTTGATGTATTGTCACATCTTAAATCTTTGTTGGCAGATCTCATGTTTCTTCAAAAAACTCACATCAGACCATCTGAGAGATCTTGATATTTGATCAGATATTTCAATTCACATTTTCTAGTAAAGCCTGAGGGGTGGCAATTACTGAGTGACTTGAATGGTCAATTTCTCATAGTCACTAGGTACCCTAATTCAGTTCATGTTCGTGCTGCTAAATATTTATGGCCTGAACACTGATGATGCAGCCTTCTTCCACAAGACCTTTGACTTGTTACCTGACCTCTCTAGCACAAACCTGATTGTTGCAGCGGACCACAATGTAATTCTTGAAAAGTATCTTGACAGATCATCAGAGAAAACGTGTAGCTCAACTAATGCATCTGTGGTGCTGAATAATATAATTTCTTCCACCAACTAAGTTGATATATGGAGGTTAAAACACCCTACAGATCGAGAATATTCCTTTTTCTCCAAAATGCATAAGACATACTCCTGTATTGACAATTTTTTACTGGACTTGAAACTCATATCCAATGTCTAATGTGAAATTTCATAACATTTTGATCTCAGATCACCCCCCGACCTCAATTACTCTTGACTTGAACAAACCCTGGCAAGGCTTTAAATGGAGACTACGCCCTTCTTTAGGTTGTGGCTTTTAGCTTTACCGGCATGAAGCTGGTAAAATTGGAAAATGTATATCCTGTCACGTATTCTGGTGCTATTGCTTGTAACATGCATCTTGTTACATATACTTGTACTGTAAGTGTTCATTTGAAGGAAAACCACTGTGATGTGAACTTATAAACTTTATGGGACTGTTTTTACTTTGTCTTTCTTTCCTAAAGTGTCCTTCTGTTCAGACACCTGCTGAATGATTGACCCCTTTGCAAAGTCTTTTAATAAAACTCATAAAAGACAACTTGGTCTCAACCAACTTTATTGAATTTCCACCACAAACTTGGCACCCCAGATGGGACATCTTGAGTGATTCCTTTCTGTCTCTAGATCCACAGGAAAACTGCATGCAGTGGGACTCAGTGAGTCTGCCATCACTACCTCTGCCTAAAAGTCCTTTGGAGATGAAGAACTGCTGGTCCGAGGCAGACTGGATCTTCGCTGATTTCCCCTTTTGACAAAGAATCCTGCTCCTGGATTGGTGAGACCGTTTTGCTTATACAAATAAATAATCAGTTGCAAAAAAAAAGGTTTTCTGTTCTGTGGAATGTGAGTTTGCCTACAGAGAAAATTCTACAAAAATTTACCAGGTAAATATTGTATGACTGACAAGTTACTTGAACTAAGGACATCAGATAATCATAAGATATTTCATCAGGTGAAATATAAAGAGAAAGTGATTTATAAACTGAGCGGTCAATGTTAGGAAAAAATGGGAAACTCAGCATCAAGACAGAGGATCCCCCTTTGATTACATTTGATCAAAATAGCACAAATTTAAAATTCATGAAAGAAAGATATGGTGATAGTAGCTTGGCCCAACTGTCAGAATGGATAAATAACCATGGTTTTCCCTATAAGGGAACTTTTACTGGGCAACAACTAACACAATTAGGAGCATTTGGAGGAGGAGAAGCAGAAAGAGATTAAAGAAAAACGGGAGAAATTCAGATAAAGGGAAAAGGTGGTTTGAACCATTCCAGGGTGACTGGAGGCTAGATGAGTCAAAAAGTAGGGAGAGACACCAGCAGGCAGAGATGGATGCCGATGGTGGGGGTCTCCAGGTGGTGTTTAGACCGTGGACAGAGAGGGAGATGAGGGACGCCGTCCTTCACTTGCCAAACATTACAAAGGGAGGAGACAGATTTGTTGCTATTTCACCCAAGCACCGGAGAAATACGCAGACTCTTCTGTGTTAGATTCAGTCTCATGATATGGGCCAAGATCAAAAGAAATTTCCCTATCAACAATGACATATGACCTGAACAAGCTGAATAACAGACATATAGAGAGGTTGTGGATGCTCTGTGTGACAGGATCCAACAGGCCTATCCTTACCATCTCGACCTGAGAAAACAGAAACATCAAACAAGACAGGGTGGGCTTGAAAGGGCAGGCAAGAAAACAATGTGATACTGCTCTGCTCCACAGACAAAGGAACTCACTTCCTCACAGTTCCTCACTGTTCACACCTGGGGACGACCCTCCCCCAGGGACCTCACTGACCAGTCAGTGTTGGTTGTGTGTGACATGTGACCCCCCAGGGTGTCACCAAACAAAATCAGATCTCCTTCTCTCTCTCCCCTCTCTCTTCTCTTCTCAGCTTGCTCAGGAGAGCAGCTCCTGCTCTCCCCTCAGCCCAGGTCAGCCCTCCTACCTGAACCAGCTTTCTCGCCGGCCTGCCTCCAGCAGCCTGCAAACATTCCTCTCCTCAACAGCAGCGACCTGCTTAGGATTAACTAAGAGTGAACCAAGTTTTCTTCAGAATCAGCAGCTACAGCACAAGCACTCTCACCTGGAAAAGGCTGGGAGCACTGTGAGAACAGGAGCCCCACAAGGAACATTTCTGGCTCCGATCCCCTTCACGCTCTGCACATCAGACTCCTACAACTCTGCTAACTGCCACCTGCACAAGTTCTCTGATGACTCTGCAATTATAGGCCTCATCACTGATGAGGATGACAGGGAATACAGAGAACTGACCCAGGACTTTGTTGATTGGTTCCACCTGGAAAAAGCTGGGAGCCACCTAAACTCTGCAGGGGCACTCCTGAGGACCTTTTATGACTCTGTGGTGGCATCATCCATCTTCTACGGAGTGGTCTGTTGAGGCAGCAGCATCTCCACTGCTGACAGGAAGAGACTGAGAAGGTTGATCAGAAAGGGGGAATGGGGGCTAAGCTATCATCCTTGTTGGAAAACATCTCCCACCCCATGCAGGACACTCTGGCAGCACTGAGCAGCTCCTTCAGCAACAGGCTGCTGCACACGTGGTGTGTGAAGGAGAGATATTGGTCTTTCCTTCCTGCTGCTGTCAGACTGTACAACAAACACTGCACACAGTAGACCATACACACACATACCAAAGATCAACAAATCACCATGAGCAATAATTCACCATGTGCAATAATTTCACTCACCAGCTGTACAATATCACTTATTTGCTGCTATTGTCTTTGTTTTATTTATTGTCTTATTTTATTATTGTCTAAATTTATTGTCTAATTGTATAATTGTCTAATTTATTGACTTATTGTCACATAGTATCAGCAATCTTCCAGAATCAAACTTCAAACATTGGAGGAAAAATTTTAGTCAACTTCTCTGAGCAACAAAGTATAGTGTATCAGTATAGTGTGTAAGAAGAACAAAAGACCCATGTACCAGAAGTCAGTCTGCTGCCATGTATTAAAATAATCTCTAGCCATTCAAGAAATATTACAACATTGTGCTGACAAGTAGGTCAGACATAGGTTTTTTCCCAACAACTTCTTGATGTTTAGTGCTACTGTAACCACTTAGATAGTTGCCTCATTACAGAGATGCCCAATGTACACTTCACCACTTTCATCTTGGACAACTCTATCAAAACACAAAAACGTCTGTAATGGATGATTCTGCAAAGCCATGAATTACATTCACTGACACATTTTTATTTATTTATTTATGCCCAATACCAATATTCTTTACAATTCTCGCTTTCTACAATATCTGTATGACAACTACAACATGGCTAAGGTTAGAGAAAGATTCTGGTTATGGATTTTAAAAATCTGAACCTCCTACAAGCTCAATCACCACCCTGATCTCCACACCCTTACTATCTGTCTCAATATATGAAGGGCATACTGTATCTTGAATTGGCACCATTGGATGTAAACTCTGATCCTGCATAGTTAAACTGGGCTGATTTGACCATGTGGTGGTTTAGCAGTTGTCCCAGTCTGACCTACTTGTTAGCACACTGTTGCAGTTTTCTGACTGAAA